GATAAATAAGTACAACTATAAAGGTATATTTTTTAGGATTGGAGTGTTTTCATCTTGCATACCTGCTGAGGGACTCTCGGGTGCGTCTTATTATGGTCCCGACCACCTGCTGCACGCGGCTGGTGCTCCGAGCTGGAGACCTGCTCCTACATCGCTCCTTCTCCTCCATTTAACTAGAGAAAATACACAAGGAATGAGTTACCGTTATGGGCCTGGACCCCAAAGAAAAGAGACAGGAGATGAAAGGTTCTCTCCAAAGATTTTAGATTCAGTGCCTGGAAATGTAAATCCTGGCTGCAACATTTTATTTGTTGAACATAGTTTTGGCCTTGGATGTTATAAATAATGAGATAAGTTCCCTTTTAGTCTGTGCACTTTGAGCCAAAAGCAGCGAGACTGGGGATTTAGGTCACAAGTTCATTATGAAATTATAATGAAGCTATAATTTGCACTGCGATAAAAGTACAAAATGTTCACATGTTATATTTGGTGGCCTAGTTACTTTTTCCTTATCTGGCTTTTTCACTCTGCGTCCGGGAGGGAGATGATGGAGAGTTTTGTTAAAACCAATGACTTTGGGAATAAGGATGATGAGTTCTGAAAATCTCAAAAATTACTGCCCCTTCCAGATCATCTGCCTCTACAGATACTTACATACTTACATCTACAGTACATTAGCATTACACCACACAACTTTCTTCCTAGCGCTATTTTTTTTTTTTGTACAAAGTTTGGTTTAGCAGTTTGATAAAATTGTTTGCAATATTTCACTTTTCACACAAACTCCAGACGACTGATGAGCTGCTCAGTATACATGGTAACATAGTCAATATTTCTTATTTTCTTTTCTTTGTTGGGAGGCTATAGTGGGACCAGAGAACTAAATATGAGGACACTTGATGAATATGAGAATTTGGCAACATGAGAGAATTGTTATAATCTTTATCCAGTTTTCAAAAATCTGGAAAATGATGATAACACATAATACTTGTATAACGCTTTTTATGACTAGGAAATGCTCTTCTCCCATCGCAATACTAACCAGGCCCTTTCTTGCTTAGCCTTTGGGATCTGACAGGTTAAGGCTTTCACATACAGGTATGGCCACATATCTCATCCTGCCAAACAAATCATTCTGAGCAGTAGCATGGGTCTTATTCCCTATAGATGTTGAAAAGCAATGGGGCAACTGTACTTATAATATACTTTACACCAATTGTACAAGTAGTAAAATAAAAGAAAGGTCCTGATGAAAACCCCAATTTCACATAAAACAAAATCATTTTAATATACCAGTCGGAGGGCCTCGGGACTATACTTTTATGACTATACTTTTATGAGTGAAATCAAATATGTATTGTAAACCAGTAGTGGAATCAATAGCAGCAGCAAACGTACGTTAGGAGACAGCAGCATGAAAATATCAAAGATTATTTCCCCAAATGAAGTTAATTTCAGATATGGTTAAATTTTGATTCAGTTTGATATTTTCAAATGTGCAGCAGGAGTAAAGGTCATAGCAAGATAATTACATATAAGAGCAACTTTATGAGCTGGAATCGATAAACCCACACTATGAATTGTCTTGTTGGCGAGTCTGGGATGTGATTGCTGGGTCTGAGCCACAGTGGGTAATGTACTACGGGCACACGGAGTGGGTTTGTCTCATAAGAGGATTATACACAGAGAAGACGCTTGTGCGGCAGAGGCCCACAGTGGTCAGGGTGTCACTTTAGCACCTCCCTCTGATCCGGATTGAGGCAGACTGACAGGAGGATGAGGTGGGATGAGGGGCTAGGTATTTGACAGCTGTGCTCCAGGAAGTCATTATTTACAAACTCAAGCATTAAGAAAAAGTAGTGATGGTGGGAGGAGGAATATAAGGGGACTGAAAACAGGACTTAAATATGAATCAATCAAAGGAGCAAGAAAACTAAACATGAAAATAATATGGAAATTGTATTAGTTTAACCATTTACATACATCTACTATGTGACTAGAGTACAGTATATTTCTGAACTAGTTATAAAAGATAATAAAAAATAAATAAACATAGCTGAGGGCCATAGATAGCGGTTGATACAGCAATAGGATAAAGACAGAATATAAAATATATAAAGTGACTTGTTTATAGGGTCCTTAAGTTACTTTATAGTACAAATTCTACACAATGGGTACTAAGTATTTGACCTACAACAACAATTTGACTGTTATTGAGGTTATTGTGGTGTTCTTTAACAAAGGATTTGCCTATCATTTTGTGCCACTTGATCTGCAATCTTGAGACAACAACACAAGTGGGTGAGAGTTGAGAAGGACATAGAGGACGTAGTTGGTAAATAGTTCAAGGATGGAGTATATAGATTGCAGATCCGGTTCAACTATGTGTCAGATGATGTGCCAGAATAGCTGCTACTTCCAGATTGTTTTTGATTCTGCTCCTCGTTCGCCCTCTCCCTCCTTCACCCTGACTGTCCTTGCAGAGTCAGGTAGTCTTCTCCAATGACAGTCTCTGTGGGCAGCGGCTGGGATTTTTTCGAAACAGACTTCTGCCAAGGACGTGAGCTTATTGTCCCTATATAAGCTCACTATGATCCCCCAAAACATTTTTATTTCTTCAGGAGAACGAATTGTTTGTGGGCAATGTCATTATTCAAAAGGCATAGCTACACAAAATATGAGGTAATCGAGTGTCTTGATTTGAGTACATTCTTAAAACAACATTTACCAATGGGACGAAGCTTCTTATCTTATCTTGAAATCGTATATCAAGAAACGTTGCTTAATTTTCTGAATCCAAGAAAGATACTTCTTGTATCTTTTTAAAATATATATATTTTGCTTGTCCCATGGACAAATCTTGTTTTAAAGCAGTCAAAATTTGCACAAATTAAGATACTTTTTGTCAAATTAGAGCATTTCTTCATCACCTTTTGCTGTGTACATATTTACTTAAGGAATTATTAGTATTAGTATTATTATTAGTATTTTCTTTTTGACGGTTTATAATTCAAGACTGGACTAGATGCATTACTATGATAAACATTGTATTCTGTTCAGGCCTTTTCGCTAATAATTCTAATTAAAGGACTACATTTTGATAAACAGCACTCACTGTGATGTAGATTGTCTCTTCAGGTCTCCAGATCACATACACCCAGTTGCCCCCTGGGACATCAGCCCGGCACCCCTCCAGGATTGGCCCATACACAGTGGAGGGGCTTCAGTGTGACCATCAGGGCCAGTCCAGATCTGGGTCTGCCACCTGCATCGAGCAAAACAAATCCATGAGACACATCACCGTGACGACCGCTCACATCCAAAGAGCTCCAATCAGCGGCGAGAGACTTTCATTTTCAGATGTCAGTTCAGTTGTTGTTTTTGTAGTGAAGTGAACACACAGCTCTGTCAGGGCAGATGTGAGACCAAACCAGTTATGTGGTTGTGGTATTTCCAAAGGCTCCTCCTCTGGTCCCCAAGGCTCTCCTTCTCTCTCTCTCTTTTTCTCTCTTTTTCTCTCTCTACTCCTCCGCAACTTTCAAACCACATGGCATACATAGGACACTCCATCTCTGTCTGGTTGTCTAGATTAAAATTGCATATCACCCAGTTGGGCTAAGAGACCTTACTGGGCTAAAAGCAAGTAGGAAGACTGATGTGGTAGTGGAAAAACAGCTGGCAAGCTCATAGCATTCTTGGCTCTTAATAAAAGACTCCTATAGACATGAAGGTGACGCCAGATATAACAGAAACCTAACACTAGATTTGGTTTGAGAAGAAAAACATGGGTTTGTTGTGAGAAGCCGAGCTGTTGAATGAGCAGAGACACAAAATAAAGACACTTGTCTAAAGAAACCATCTCATTTTACTCCAACAGTGATCTATGATGTAAACTTGTGCTCCCATGTGGTCGAACAGAAGGTTTTGATAGGCCCATCTGTGCAGAGCTCCCATCAGGCTCAGAGTCCTTCACGCAGAGCTCGTTCATGACAAGACCCAATGAAGAAGACTTGGACAGAACGACCACGGGACTCATGAATTATACATGGAGCTAATGCAGCTACCTCAGCCTCTGACAACACCACCCTCATCAGCCTCTCTGCCAACACGAGCAAGAAGGAGAAGCAGAGGAGGCAGACAGAGGAGCATTGGGGGTTGGGAGAGGGTGGGAGGGGACACGGAGGAGAAAAGAAGTGGTCAAAGCAGAAAAGGAGAGAGAGAAAGGACAGGATATTGAAGGGGCCGCACAAAAGGGGACCAGAAGGGGAGAGTTTTAAAGAGGTTAAAAAGGCAGAAACCAACAATCAGGGCAAAGTTGCAGCAAGAAGAAGCAAAGTATCAAGAGTTTGAAAAGGGTGTTTACATCCCTCTCATCAATGCAACATGTTCATTGATAGAAGTTTCACATGGCACCAAAACAGAGTGAAAATAGAAGCTCCCGAGACTTGCACATTTTCGTAGAAGGACAGCTTCATGGAGATAAACAACCTGGTCATGAGTCAACTAATTTATTCTGTAGTCTATTTTTACCAATAAAAAATATATATATTGTAGAATAGACAATAGATGACACCCTGTAACTTATTAAGAGATAGTGGACTACTTTAATCAATAAAAGAAATACCTAGATGAAAACTATGTAGGTAACATTTAGGGAGACATTTGTGGGAAGCCAAGTCGCTGTATAGATAGTGTCCTGGATTTAGGAGCTCATGTAGCAATTCTGCTACTTTGACGCTTGAAGGGTTAATGTACTATAAAACTACACAAGACACTACACAAATGACACTGTGTAGAGATAACTGAACTACATATAATGATGTGATATGCTATTATTGGAAAGACTATACAGGTAATTGTTTGCAGCGGTAAATAAAACATGTTCTTCACAAACTTAACTTTATGTCCTTGTGAAAAATGCCAAATTTAGAAATTCAGAAACACATCAAACGCTCGACTCACTGAGCTAATTGATCTTGCGGTTATTACATGACTGTGTGGCTTTTGTATGGCCACAGAGGCTTAACTTAGGCTGGTCTCGACTAAAGATCAGATACCAAGACAATGGAAGTAAAAAGTAATAAGATAACTTGTTGCAGGGGAGTAGCCGTACAAAATATTGATCCTGACAAACGTGTGTATATGTGATTACATTTATAGCAGTTGGAATGAAGACAACCTCTGCTTCCACACATGACCCACTAGGTGTTTGGATTTGTCTCAGTCTGCACTAATGCATGAAGTACATATTGTTCAGCACATTTGGCAACATAACAAGATTGCTGACATATAAACTGTATGATTTTATTCTAAACAATTTCCATTATTACTGCATCTTGTTCATAACATTTCCCTGTAAGCACCAGCTTTTATAGTCTGCAGAGGGAATGCTAACTCCACTGTTCATTCGGGCTCAGTGTTCACCGAAAAACTTGGACAGAGACCTCGGTAAACATTTGGTCCAAAAGCGAATTTGGCAGAAAACGCTGTTTGTTTGAATGTCTGGAAGATCTGAGGTGTGCAGTTATGCCTGAGCAAGGACAGGACAGCTGCATTGAGTTAGGAGTGCATGCAAATAAAAAAAAGCTCTAGTTGATTGATCTAGTTAATAGTTATGATAAAAATCTGTGGGTCAAATTAACATTTAACAGGTCCTATATACGTCCCACAGTGGGGAATTTTCAGTGTTGCATCACTGGTTACAGAACAGTAGGAATGAGGAGCACACAACACAAAATGAACAATAACTCTATACTACAATGAAATTAAATCACAACCTTTAGCATAAAAAAGCATAAAAAAGAAGCAGGTATGTAATCTCTGGCTTTAGCACTACAACAATGAACTGTATTTGCGTACATGTGGCAGATGTTAACCAAAACCTCTTTAAGCTTTGTTTGTTTTTATTATACAGCAGCTTCCTGAAGTCTAGACTTTAGAAGCAAAATGTATGTCACTTTTCACAAAGTCAGTAATGGATGTACAAAAACATAGACAGAAGATACAAAATACACGACTTATACCACACACAAACATAACATAATTTAGTTTGTACGATAGTGCATGAGTAAATGGTAATCATCAAAGAGCATATGACAGGTGAGAGTACAACATCAGCTGCTTACAATCAGTATAGAAACAATCAAGAATATTACAGTAAGTACAGCCTACATACAAACAGTTCATTGAGTTCAGTATCAGTATTATGTATTTGTGACCTGCAAGTGTAACTTGCACCCAAATATAACACCTCTATTCTCTTGTATAGAGTCACCCTGGCTGTCACCCTGTCTTACTGATATGATGCTCATGGTGCTTCTCGTGTCACTTCCATCAGCAGCAGTTCTCCTGTATTAATAACATGAATTAGTGTGTGACAATGTGATCTTTATCACTCTGGACTGGGCCACTCATTATAGAGGTCCATCAGTCAATGTAGATGTTTTATTTCTTCTTTAATTTACAGGTCATTTAACAAGAGCAACGTAACACAGAGCTGCAGGAAGACTTTAATATTTAATTACTTTAAAAATAGAAAAGGAAAATCTGGTTTAAACAGCAGGCTGTAGTGCACATATCCTGCATTGCTTTGCTGTAGGGTATTAAATGTGCAATAAAACAAAAACTGCATTTATTTGCAGAGGACTTAATAGATAAATTCTACCATACATAATTATGTAATTCATTATTGGACTAAATATATACATATACTATTAGTTATTAAATATCTATAATGGCATTGGACAATTTGCATCAGTTCTGTTGAAATGAGTCATCCAGTCTACTACAAACTAGAATGTACCCTCAAGACAAACAACCATAAAACAGAGTCTGTAAGTGGGCCACAGTCAGTAGGGCAGATGCAGGCTGATGTGCAGAGACATCAAGACTGTCCTGCACGTTCTGCCTTCAGAAGAATGACCTCCACACTGCTATTCCCATCACATGTAGAACTATAATATACATCCCTGAGTCACAGCACGCAGCCTGCAGCAGGAACAACGCGAATACAATAATGTGTCCATATTAAAGACAAATAAAAGGCAGGCCTTCCTTCACTATTTCTGCATATACATGCTCACATATACATGTAAGGTCCACACAATAACTAAGGGGAGATACATTCGGTTGAAGACATCTACACACGCTCGCCGGGATGGGCCATTGGTTTTTAGCAGTGTATTATTGAATGATATCATGCATTAAATGAAGGCCCCAGAACAGCAAAACGCATTGTTCCGGTCTAGTTGTGCCATGCTTGGCACCGTGCAGAACAGGCGGCTGCGCGCTGCTGGCCATAGGATATAGAGGACGAGGGGCAAAAAGGACGAGAAGAAAAAAAGAATAGAGTCTAGCGTCTGCACATCATACTTACGTCCCACACAAACACCAGTGTTGTACTAGAAGAACAGCCCTGACGGAGGATATCTGGGCTTTTCAATGGGATCACTGCGTAGACGCCGCAGCTCGGGCTTCAGCCATGTGTAATAACACCGTACCCTATATGAAAACCAATGACCTGGATTCAGCGTAATGTTTTTATTAAACCGAGACGGTAATAGATTGAGACTATAGACATGTCTATATGTCTAAATCCCGTCACAAGTGGTCAATGTGTTCTACGCTTCCATCACACCAAGTTAAATAACGACGAGAATTTAAAAGCGAGCCTTGACAAAGAAAAAAGGTCATAATTTTGCAGCCTCCTATGTAATCGTGTAATCGGATTTAAACATCCATCAGCCTCAAAGACGAGGGGTTGTAGCCTCCAAACGTGTGGCACCCGCTTTCTGTGAGCAAATCTGAGCTCAAAGCCTGTGGATGATGGAAGGTGCGGACAGTCCGCGGGCGCTCCTTCAACAGAAAACACACACAACTCACCTCGTGGTGCGAAGAACACGGACCCGAGTCTGTGTCGAACCAGAAGAAAAATCAACGATGTGAAGAATGACACAGGAAATATTGGCCGAGATGTGATCCCGTGCGCCCTGCCCGGCCCGGATGGTGATGAGCTGAGTAGGGGGGGGGCGTCTCGCTGAGGCTGCTCCTCTAATCCTCAGGCCTGAGCTCTGGACTACTGTCTCTCCTCCTGTGTCTGCCCCAAGAGCCAGTACCCCGCCCTCCTCTGCAGAGCAAGGCGACGATCACAAACTCGTACTGATATTGATTTGGTGCGCCTACATTACCTCCTTCTATGTTCATCAAAGGGTTCGTTCGTTTATTACTCAAACAAAATAAAAAAATAAAAACAATTTTAATGGCGTGCTTACATCATTTTAAAAACATGGGAAAATACACGTGTAAAAAACACAATAAATAAATATCGTTAGATCCAGGTCGCGTTTTTGGCGTTTGCGTTTGGCTGGTCTCGCTCGCCGTGACTCTCACTTCCGTTTGGGAGACACACTTCCGGTGAAGATCCCCACGCTCCAGGAGCTAAGCAACCGATTACTGTTCAACATCCAGACCAAAACCCAATTAACATGTTCAAATTAGAAGGACTGGGACCGAAGATGGACCCGGAAGAAATGCAAAAGAAAATGCGACAAGACGTCATCACATCCGTACGGAACTTTCTTCTTTACGTCGCCCTTCTCCGAGCCAGTAAGTAGCACACTGTCATTGAACATACTGTGTTATATACTGTAGTAGCTAAATGTACTCGATGTATGTAACGCACTGTCTATGGGTAAGCTACTACATGTATGTGACCTTCTGTGCTCCCACCACCACTTCGTTTTATAATTCATGTCAACCAGGTAAACTCAGTAATGAATGCAGATCAAATAGCTGGTGTGTTCAAGGGCAGTGCCACTAAACGATTATTTAATATTTAACAGACTGTTAACCATACATCTAATATTTGCCATTAATGTTGGTGAGAATTCTAAAGGTGCAGAATACTGAATACCTGCATTATAAGGCATTTTGTTGCATCCTTTTCCATTCCCAATCAAATTACTGCATTCTGAATAGAACAAAGAGTAATACACAAAGTACAGACACTACTAATTATGAATTTTTTTTTTGTCAAATATTGCTTTTTGTGCTCTAAATTTGATAGTACCTTGCACTCCATACATACAAAAAATAATCTGAATATCACTTAAAATGATTAAAGTTAGTTCTATGTTTTCTTTTATCTGTGCATGTGTTCTGGTAACTCCCCAACAGTATTCTTTATTTTCACACACAATAGTGTGTATCATTATCCAGAGACAAAGCTAATACCAGAATCAGAATGATGAGCTCACCTCTACCTTGCATCTATGGCGTGAACTGAAACTATGCAGTTTCAGTTCGAGTTATGACCACAGACTGTATATGCATCTTAGAAATCATGATGACACAATGAATGACATATTCTCTCCTACCCTATTTGATGACGTCTGTATGATTGTTATGTGTTTGCTTGCAGCTCCTTATGTGCTGAAAAAACTGGACAGTATATGACGTGACTCCGTATCCCCCTGACCACTCTACAGAACGTGCTATCTTCTTCACAAGAAGTCTGGACCAGGACCATCTCATGGGAGTCGGATGACAACTCCAAGGACATCTGAAAGTTGCTTTTACATAGCACTCTAAGGATTTACATCATATTATGAATATTGTATTTACTTATGAATCCAAGCATTGTTGTTCGTATTAATGTGCACTGTCATCTATTAAATTCATGTCAACACTGGTATTGAACTGTCTTTTACTGTGATATTCAAGGTTAAAACACTGAGCTATTCTTATTTAAACGTTTTGTGCCACCCTCGGATCAAAATCACCCGCCAAAGTGATTAAAAGTAGAAGATAAAGGGTCTAAATGAGTTTTTTTTTTTTTTTCAATTCGACCCCAAGGATAGCACAAGAGATAAAATACATGTTAAAAGCACACACCTTTGGAATCAGTGAAAGCATTTAATAATACCAGTGAGCCTATCTGTGAATGCATGCACTACACAGTCATCACCTGAAGAGGGCGGTGTTGGTTCGCGCTCTGACACAAGCTTGACAGCCGCTGCCAGCGCGCCCTCCACACAATGGGCAGACAACGCTAGATGCTAATGGTACTATGCATAGACAGATCCGGTCTGTATTTAACAGAATTGTTACTGTAAAGGACTTTTTTGTAAGTCATGAGGATGGTGCACAGTGCGGAAAATAGGACGAGCAATACGTGTATTCTTCATCCTTTGGCGGTATTGTTGGACCAGGCCCGCCCATACTCCAGCTCCTCACACTCGGATGAATGATCTGTCTGAGGGACTGAGGCAGCATCATGCACAGTAAGATTAACACGGGACATTCATCAAAGGAGCAAACCGCATCTTGACCAAAGATGTATTTTCCAACTCATTTCCAGTACATTTTTCGCCAGCTCAATCACCAGCGTCTCCATGCCCATCTCTGCGACTGTGTGGTGCAGGTCGGGGGTCAGACTTTCAGAGCACATCGCGCAATTCTAGCCGCAAGCAGTTCTCACTTCAGGGCGCTTCTCGGCTCGAATGACAGCGGGGACGAAGGAGGGGGATCCAGCACCAATAAGAGTGAATGTGGAGGTCCGAGCATGATAGAGCTTGACCCTGAAGTGGTGACACCCGAAGCTTTTACTACGTTAATAGATATGATGTACACTTCTACGTTGTCACTGGGGACCTCAAATGTTATGGATGTACTATTGGCAGCCTCTCATCTTCACTTTAATGCAGTCGTCAAAGCCTGCAAGTTACACCTGTCAAAGAAAAACTTCCCCTCCGCTCCACCAAAGGCCTGGATGTCAGTGCATTCTTCAGATAGCACCCAACGAGCGGCACTGTATCATCAAGCCACGTCTGGGTTGGAGGACCACCATGATGAGGATGCAGTGGAGGTGAGCCAGTCTGGTGGCCTTGAAGACAAAACCTCACCTTTGCACAGATACAAGAGAAAGACACAGGATGAGACTCTACGTTACAGAAAGAAACTTTGTTCTGGACCTGGGGACATGCATAGGGCTTGTTCTCCTACTGTGAGCATGAGTGTTTTCAGTGCAGAAGAGAGCAGAGAGGACCTGCTGTCTCCTGATGGCCTCAAATTGCCCGAAAGACTCTGGGAAAGTCCAGGTGAAGAGGAAGATGAGGTTGAAGAAAAATATGAAGCAACTAAAGGAGAGTCTGATGAGATCCAGCTTCCAAGTCAGTCAGACAGCAGCTTTGGAGACATCTGTAACTGGGATGTAGTTAGTGGAAAGGATAGAAACAATGTTGTTAAAGTTAAAATTGGAGAAGAAGGGGAGGAGAATGAGGCCCCTATAACCACAAAAGTTGAGGTAAAAAGAGAAAATATGAACTCTCCAGAAATAAAACCAGCTACAGATGACACATTACAGTGTATGCCACAAAACTCACACCAATTCAGTGTAGACAAAGTCTCAGCAGCTGAGGCTGATGAAAGTATTTTAGGGTCTCTTTGCACAAACTTGAACAGTGAAAAGGTTGGTGTAGACACAGAGGATGATCCAGTTGGCCTTGACAGTTTGTCAGACCTAGCATTTTCATGTTTTCTTAATCCTACCACAGACAGTGTGATGGGTGCTCTAGAGGACGACAGTATAGCCAGTCTGACTGCTGCTGCTACTGATGCAGCTGCCGCCGCCAGTGATGCCGCAATATCTATGGACAACAGTCATTTGTGCCAAAGTGAAGATCAGGCCAACTCCTCTTCAACACAGTCGGATTCCTCTTTAACTTTTCCAGTAACTTCTGTTCCTCTGCAACAGCTACTCCCAACTCAGTCAAGTGTATTTACTGATGCACTGATTCTGCAGCCAGCTCCAAACTCTCTGACAGGATACTTAAGCAGCCTAGGTCCAGGACTAACTCTAGAGACCTCTGTAATTCAACCTTCTCCCAGTATTAGCAAGAGCTGGGCAAGTGGAAGCTCAGGGGTTACAGCTTTTCGCCGCATTGCTCCCAAAGCGCCTCCTGAATCAGAAGCCAGTTCTGACCCTTCAGCAGAGACTGCAGAGCCGCTGTCTCTCACCATCGCATCTGAAGATGTTGTGTCAAAGTGCAAGAAAGCAGCTTGTCAAGATCATGTCATCTTGGTTGAAGGGGACAAAAAGTATGCCTGTAAAATCTGTTGTAAAACATTTATGAATCTGACAGACTGTAAAAAACATATCCGTGTTCACACAGGGGAGAAGCCCTACCCCTGTCCCAAGTGCGGCAAACGTTTTAGTCAGTCCTCACATCTTTATAAGCACACCAAGAACTCTTGCCAAAACTGGAAAGCTGACAAATCCTTTTCTGACACACATCAATAAAACAAAACAAATTATTAGTTCAAAAACACTTTATTAAGATGTATTTCAGGGCACTAATGCTCGGAGGTCAGATTGCCAACCATGTAGCCAGCAAGACTGATATGCGTTTTTGTCATACAAACCATTTTTACATTTATGAAATTATTAAGGCAAATTCTTGTTATCTGTATTTGAATATACATTATTTATTTTGCTCTGTAAATTAAGTTAGTGTTGAGGCTATTTTGATTTACTTCATTACTAGATCATTTCTAATAAATCATGAAAAAAGTGCAATTCTATGCTATTTACTTCACCTTTACCATATATTGTTTGTTTCCAATGTTGGAACACCTAGTAAAGGCTAGAGCTTAGCACTGAAGTTTGAGCTAAAGCTTAAGTTCACTGGGCATGTCAGCGCCCTGTAAACCAGCCAAAAGGTTACGGGCTGCAAGGGAAGACATGATGCCTCTTGTGGAGTAGGTGGCACTGCCAATGTGTGGCAACACCACTGTGGACACAAAAGGGAAGAGACAAAATCAAAAGACGTAAAGAAGAATCATTTTTATAACGTGTGGAAGGAGGGATAATTCACACATACCACAGTTCTTGAGTGTGAAGAGTGGGTGGTTTGTTGGAAGAGGTTCTGGAGTAGTCACATCCAAACCAGCAGCAGCAATTTGCCCAGACTTCAAAGCTTCATACAAGTCTTCCTGGTTGACAACAGCTCCTCTGGAATAAAAGGACAGTCAACAGCGTTAGGGTAAAACATGTCTACAAACTGAGGAAACCTACCTGCTTGTATTGACAAAGACAGCAGTATTTTTCATCTTGCTGAAGAAGGCCTTGTCACACAGACCTTGAGTTTCAGGAGTCAGGGAGCAAGACAGGACTATGAAGTCACTCTCAGCAAGGAGCGTGTCCATTGGCACTAACAACAATACATTTATATTCTTATTAAGGTAGTTCAAGAGGATGAGTTGTCTCCACATGTCTATGTACATACCATATTCTCCATTGACTTCTGTAGCGTGGGGCTTTGAGCTTCTACCAGTATATAAAAGTCGTTTAACTCCGAAAGGCATGAGTCGATGTGCTATAGCCAAACCTATAATAGGAAACAAAAATATTAATATTTCTTCCACAATCTCATCCTCATTATTAGGTTAGTCCTGTTCATGTGGATAGTTTTTGTTTCGTTGATATGATATTGATTAAACGTACCCTGTATGCCTTAAATCAGTGCTTCTAATTTAGTTTTCTTAAGATTAATAACAATAATCTAAATAGCTATAAATAGTATTTTATCTATACAATTGCATTGCATTCAATCATATGCTAATTAACATGACAGAAACCAGACTACAGATCAATTTACAACAACAAAAATAACTAATGACCCAAATGGGGAAGGGAGGCTGAGAAGGGCTGTTTTAGGTAAGTTTAGAAGCATCACCAACCAATGCGTCCAAGTCCAATGATTCCTACTGTACTGCCAGATAAACCATAACCACAGAGCCAAAGGGGTTTCCATGTGCTCCAGCCTCCACTGTAAAAAAGGAAAGAAACACAGCTCTTGCTCATTTTCAACAACAGCCAGCCACCAATCATGACATTAAGAACTGATTATTGTAAGAAATGCTGTGTTGTGGACAGACTTTTTGGCCTCCTCCACTCCTTCTGGTAATCGACGAGCAGTAGCCAGCAGCAGCGCGACAGTCAGTTCTGCTGTAGCATCTGTGAGCACATCTGGAGTGTATCCAACACGAATGCCACTTTTGAAAGAAAAGACAACACTATAAAGGTTTGCACAATCTCCAACATGATGAACACAATCCACTTCAATGAACACATACCGTTTCTTTATTTCATCAAGGGCCAAATGGTCAAAACCAACAGAGAGTGTGCTGATCACCTTCAGGTTAGGTCCTAAAAGTCACATCATTCAATCAGTGTTTGGGGACGATAATATTGGTGTATTTTAATGTAATGCTAAAATAGGTTGCCTTCAAGGGACATCACAAGAGCTTATAGATTTAAGGAGATATATTATGAAACAGACTTTTTCTCTCTCTCAGCCATGTGCTAACATTGTTCCTCATCAGTCACAGAGCTGGAGTTGCTTTTAGATCTATGCAAAATAATATCAGGAACTTGCACAAACATTCTGTCTAAAAGTTTTTGTCTCAGTTCTATTACTAAAAGTATGATTTAATTGTACCACTATGACATCACATACAGAACAGTTTACCAAAAGTATTGCTCATATAATAGTTTTGGAAATTTCTCAAGTGAAATTAATCAAAGTTAGAAGAATACAACATATATTCTTGTCCTTCCTCTGGTAGTAGCATAGAGATAGGGCAGCATTATTTACCCTTGATACACATTTCAACATATTCACTACTGAAGATATTATTTCACATTCTAAAACATTAAATGACAAATGTTTCTTATAAAAAAGGAAATGACATGATAGCAGTGATAATAGTAACAACAGGAATAAAAAATGTGACGATTTTGTTTTGAGAGATCAGATGTCAAATGATTGAAAAGAAAGTACCTGCTGCATCCAGGACTTCCGCGTCTATCTTATCCGACAGCAGACAGAGGATCCCCGCAGCTCCCTGCACCTGTCTGAGCAGCTCTGTCCTGGGCACGGGCTCATCACTGTCCCACGCGGAGGTCTCACATCTGTTACCATGGATACACACGCACATCACATCATGGCATCACATACACACACAAGGCACATATGACATTTAACCATAATTCACAGGTAGGCTCTAAATTATGATCAGGATACAGTTATTGTTTAATACTAGCGTGACTGACGACTTTTAATGTAATGACTTTAAAAAGTACTCACACTCCCGCTGCAGAGGTGAGGATTTGCATTCCCTCCGGTGGAATACGTCTTGTCAGGAAAACCTTCATTATTTTAGCCACTGTTTGCATAACACGTGAGAGGCAAACACGCAACAAGGTTCTGCCACTGCAACGCGACAGAAGTGTTCTTCACAAGTGCACAACAGTCAGAAGGACCAAACTCATGCTGATATATGTAGCAGGAAGTGGATCAGCGGAGCGGCCTTGCATCTGCGCATGCGCGTTGATATGTCTGTAAAAGTTTGGATCATATCGCATATACACCGTTATTATGATAGATCCATGATATACACTCACTTTCAGGATGTAAAAGGTTGTGAAACGTATGCCCAATTATGTATATCAAACAGGCATATTAAAATAGCATAATATATCTATAATTATTAACTAGATACTAAATACAAAATAATAAAGACGACAAACGTATCGAAAATTATGTGTTTTTCTTTTTGTTGAGAACATGACAAATACAAAGTTAGATGCAGATTGGCTGTAGGGCAGTGCACATGACGTCAGTCCAGTAGTCGTCTGCATTTTGCTTGTCGCTGCTGAAGCCCAGCCCCTGTGCACAGTCCGCACTCGCTTTGCGCAGAAAAATGTCAGCTCTTGAGCTTTGGAAAGCGGCAGTGGCTGAAATATGAGCTGCTCCCCCCGCCACACGGATTATTAAAGGACTAAATAAAGGTAGGATAAGATCTATACCACTTTATTATCGGTTTGTTTGCGGCGGATATTAGCTCCACTCTGACATTATGCTCTACGGACACAGCCGCTGGTGTTTTTACCACTCGTTACAAGATCTAACAGGATACTGCCTGTGCCATGATTGTCCAATTGCAATGAGGGATTATTACACTGTTAATTAGTCAGTAATGCACATTTGCTTTTGGGTTTTGACTGTCATCCCTAAGAGCGTAAACCACAACGCCTTATATGGAAGACACCCCTTCCTTTTGTATTATACATTAAGTATTGCCTTTCTCGCCTCACTTCACTAATTAGAATCCAATGCAGTCATGATATTGTTAAGTTTTATTTATTTGTTATTTAGGAGAATTGCTCCGCATGTTTTTCCCTTATAAAGCAGATAATAGCTTATAAGTTTATATGTAGTACTAAATCCTTGGCTAAGGAAAATTGACTGGATGACAATGTAATTTTCAAATAAATTGTAAACAACAAAAAAGAAAAGGATATGAATACAAAATAAATACAAACTAAATACACATAATAAACAATTGCTCATTATTCCTCCAGGCACCAGATAACAAATGACTACACTAATAATTATGCTTAAGGCTCCTCTTTAAGGTCTGGACGTTAAAGTTACTTATGTATGAGCGATGATCATGGAACCGAGAGACTGGCCTAAAAAAGGTGTGTTTGTGCTCCCAGGTCCAGTATCACCTCAGTTAACTCACATGTTTGGAAAGGCTTGAGTGACAGTGTGAGGACTGTTTCATCAATTGCTTCTGAAGTAAACCTAAAGACCACACCCGTAAAGTCACCCTCCATGTTAGATCCTAGAGTTTCTTTGCTGAAAAAAGAGCTCTATTCCCTCAAGCTTTCATGCATGCTACAAAAATGTGTCTTGCTGCTGCTGCATATTCTGAAAGTTGATGTCACTCAAATATCTGCCCATGTGTGGTTGTGTTTTAGAGGGAGTGACTTGCCCCATTGCTGTGGGAAGCCGAGGATCGTCCAGGTCTTGTCTGGGCCTGTCTAAGCTCCAGGGTTCGAGCTCTGAGACTGTGTGCCATGGCTTTGTTGACTCTGCACCGGGCTCCATCTATCTGCACCACTCCAGTGAGTTCATACACCACTTATCTGTCCTCTTTACTCTGTGTGGTGTTTGTTGCTTATACACATACTCGGGAATGAAGATAGACTAGGCCTGTGACAGTAAGAAAATGTGAACACAACAGAACATTATCCCACCGACTATAAAAATGACGAGGCAGAATAATCACAGTATTATTTGTGTGTATAGTTATAATTTCTTTGCTGTAACAAATAAACAACAGAATAGCGAAGAAATTAAACAACAATTTTCCTCGATAAACCCAATATGTATTTTTTTTTTTGCATGGTACCAGAAAAATGTATATTGGTGTATACTATCTGTTGCACACGGGGGTAGTAGTCTTGCACAGTTTTTCCAATGTGGTTTTACTGCAAATGCCAAGTAAATTCTTGAATCTTGAATATTGTATATTTCGTCATAAAATGGTCTCTTAAACATGGACATTTGTGACCGACCAATACAGGCCAAGGATGTTTTGAAGTTTTGTACAAAGTGGAAAAATGTGACTACATTTATATTATCAAATTATTTTGGCAATCTAATTATCTCAAATGATTTATGATTAGGCTAATGATTTAACAATTCATGCAGTTAGAATCATATTTTTACTGAATAGTGTATTGTGTTGTCTGTATATGTTTAAAGCTGGGGTACCTAACTGTTTTTTATTTATTTATAAATAATACCTTTGAATAGTTCATTTGTAAAAATAGATTAGTGCCTTGAGAATAAAATTTGAAAGGCTTACAAATTGCTCTTTACTGAGTGCCCGATCTATTTAAGATGGAGAGATCCTCTATTCGTCCCATAGTGGGGATATTTCAGTGTTATTTATTTATTCAGCTTTTGTTGCTTTGAGTTTTGAGTAATACTTTTTGATACATTTTCAAAACGGAGATATCTGTTTTTGCAATTGAATTCCTCTTGTGTTTGTCCCAACAGTTATAGTCAGGCCAAAGTAAAATATTGTGAACAAATTGCAAAAAGTGATTAGAAAAATAAGTCAAAATTTGTCAAATTTGTCTAAATGTATGTTCATTTGAGCACATTTTCACTTCCTTAAAACAAGCTATGTCAATGGGACAAGCAACAATATCTTGTTTTATAAAGACACAAGAAATTTCTCCCTTGGAATGAGAAAATAAAGCAACAGTGTGTTGAAATAAGACTAAATAGCTTCGTCTCATTGGCAAATCTAGTTTTAAGACATAAAGTAAGAATGTGCTCAAAATAAGATAAAAACCACTCGATTCAAACAAATATTACTGCAGTGAAGATGTGCCAGAGGCCAAACTATGTAAGAAACAGAGCGAGGAACTATAGCATTTTATGACTTAGATTCATTTTTGGTGGTTATGTCGCTAATGTTATTTTTGTGTGTTTTCTTGTGTTGTATGTTTTTCATGCCCTATGCTGCTAAAATCAATTGATTAACAAAGTAATCTGGATCTGAATCTGATGGTACCCCAGATTTACCCCACGATGAATGACTTTTGACCTGGGAAATGCCACGTTTTCTCTGCTCATCAGTTCATTCAGATGACTTTAAACCTTAAACCTTTTCATTGTGAACACCAGAAAAACCAGCTGCAGTTTCTCACGTTTCATTCCCACTGTGAATCTACTCATCTGCGTAACATTCTTTCCCTCTTCTTCTTACTTTATCTTTTCTATATCATGGTTTTGTTGTCTCTCCCGGCCCCTACCTTCACCTCCTCATCTTGTTCCTTCACTCTGTCTGGACTTGTCAGTTGCGTAACAGGTAATATTACTGTTTCCAGTGTCTCTTTCTTTAAGCTCTCGTTACTACAGCTATTTCAATGTCGTCGCGCTCAGCCCAATCTTAGGTATTCTTATGTCATGCTTTACACCCTCCCATCTTTGTTTCGCTAAGTTGACAGTTAATCCCTTTTGTGGTATCAACCTTTTGTCCAGAACTCTCGGGCCTCCATACAAGTTCATTTTTAGTGTCTATGATAACAAATCTTTTGAAATAATTGTGATTTCAAAGACGAGTAATTGTAGGTGAAACTGTAACAACCCAAAATTGAGATCATTCAAAAGGCAATTTACTTCTATAATTCAACTTGTACTGGGAACGTAATGTATGACAGACTCATTACACGCAAAGTGAGATAGATCAAGCCTGTCTTTGTTTTAAAGTTGATGATCACAGCTTGTTAAAAACTCCAAATAAAACGGACTGGTGTAAAGATGCATAGCAAGACATTCAAAACTCATCAAAACAAAGCCATAATCATCAACTTTATAACAAACAAAGGTATATGTCACTTTGTATTGAGTCTATATCTTGCACTGGTTCCACATTTTTAAGTTAAATTACAGAACTAAAGAAACATTTCCAAGTTTCACCGGTATTTTGTTTCCATAATTGAGCAGCCCTCGAGTGTCACCTTTCCAGAGGCCTCACTTGCTCTTCACAACATTAACCATAACACCAATAGGCTATGATAGTAATATTAGCAAAACAAATAATCAAAATATAAGTTTAACAAAAAGACACCTGTGACAAATGACAAACTGCATTAGTTTAGTTATAAAACTGAAGACTTTTATGAAAGACAAAAACACATGTGATCAATTGGAATGTTTTTCTTTAGGATGACACTCTCCAAAGAAGAGGGCGGCTTCAGAAAAGGTAAGTATGCTACACATTCCTCTCTTTAATAAATTGTAAGTTACAAGTGTGTTCTTACTGACTATAGGGAGAGTTTTGCACTGGTGAAAGGTGCTGTCCTCCTGATCGATGATGAGCCGAGGGAGGGGGATTCGTCTCCCCCTCTCAGTTCTCCCACTAAAGAACACACCACACTGTCCAACGTGCAACACAGACAGCTCCACGCTATGGTCGAGCTGCTACGACCAGAGGACACCATTAAACTGGTAATTCTATGGCAAAAATAGTGCATTATGTGATATCTCTAGTATTACATTGCTGTTATAAATCTGGAGCAGTCTTCCTGAAAATGTGAGGCTTTTACTTATGTTTAGCTGTGCATACAACTGAGGACGCCACTCTTTATAATGTACTGTGATTATGTGTGATGATAGTGCCTTGATTTTCTTGTTGTGTTAAGCACTTTGAGTTGCCTTCTGTATGAACTGTGCTTTATAATTAAACTTGCACTGCTTATAGAGAAGGAAAGTATGAATTAGTTCTACAGTCAAAGAGATCCACATATTTGATGATTGCATGATGCTTTTGAGAGCGGTTCACACTTCTAGTTTTAGGTCCTAGTTTCTCCCCAGCTTGAGTACAAAGACTCATTCTAGTTGCAGGTTTAGTCGACAATGTGAATGTTTTGCCGTGCCAGCATGTTTTGGTCTTGTTGTATTTCCTCTGAGTTCTCTCTGGTGTCCCTTCCCTGCCTTCTGCTCTCAGGCAGTGCAGCTGGAGTCCGTCAACTCGGTTAGAGTCAGATACCTGATCATTGTGTCCACTCTTGGGAACAAAGATGAAAGCATTCTTCTGGGCTTGGACTTCCCCGATGCAGACAGGTAAAACCAACACAGACATTTTCATCGTTTTACTAAGATTTTTTACATGTGTATTTCTGACTTTGTCTGTTGTGTGGGTTTCTCAGTGATCACTGCACCATTGGCCTGGTTCTGCCCGTGTGGAGCGACACACAGGTGTACTTGGACGGAGATGGGTGAGCATGTTTTAAATACATGTTACTGGACCGCAGCACAGATGGTGCGGCTGCCTCCTGTCTGGGACTGTGGCCAGGGGAAGCATAGCAACAATGGATTATGTGGTTTTAATGAGGATGTGTTATTGGTTAATGTCATTTCAATTTCATTATCATTAGCAAAAAATGAAACTGTTCCTCTACAGCAGGCCTGTCAAACACACTGCAGAATGTTTATTGTGGCCCCTGACATGGATTATAAGTCTTGCTATTCACTTGTAGCTCGATCCTAAGAGGTTAATGTGTTTACGTGACTAAAGCATGTTATTTATTATTTTAAAGATCATCATTCATTATAATTGATTTGCAAATATGCATAATATCATTCTGGCTTAGTCCAAACAGAACTGAATTCCTTTTGTCCAATAATATCCACACACACAAAAAATAGATTATAATGATAATATTTGGAAAAATCCTATAGAACATAAAATATGAATACAGAAAAAAATGCTAATGCAAAAAATGAACTTCAAACTAATTTCCACATAAAAACAGGGCCATGGGATATAAAGCAAAACAAAACCATAAGAGAACTGTTGTCAAAACAAAAAACACCAAATTATAACTATAATCCACATAGTGACAGACCCATTCTGGTGCAAAGCTACATTTGGGGACATGAGAAAGCACCAAAGAGGTTTAGACTGCTTCATTTGTCACAAGTCACTTCACTTCTTTGGAAACAGATCTGTTATTTCTGTGACAAATGACAGAAGCAAGAGGAAGGTGTGTGTGTGTGTGTGTGTGTGTGTGTGTGTGTGTGTGTGTGTGTGTGTGTGTGTGTGTGTGTGTGTGTGTGTGTGCGTGCGCGTGTGCGCGTGTGCGCGTGTGCGTGTGTGCGTGTGTGCGTGCGTGCGTGCGCGTGTGCGTGTGTGCAAGAGGAGTTGAAGCCCAATAAGCATTTGCGTCATCCAACCCCTTTTCAGACTTTTATTTTCTCAAATCAAACGTCTGTATCTTGTTAGTTATGCTGTATGAAAAATATAGGTCTGAAATAAATACTTAACACAAATCACAGAGCTTACTTCTGAGGCAATATCTGTGATTTGTGAAATTCACTATATAGAAAACAATTACTTACTTCTTACAGTATATTACAATTTTGCTCTACATTTCAATTTAAATCAACCATTGTCAATAGGTAATAAAAGGATTTTGTAACCTAAAAATAACGTTTTCATGATAGCAGGAGATAGTGGTTGCAGACGGTCAGGGTCTGTTGAGGCTGCTCACTGCTCTGGGCCCATAGCGCTCAGCTGTCACATGTGTCACACGCTACATTTTTATCACACTCTCTTATCGCTTCTGCACATTCGCCTCAAATCACACCTACCACTCAGCCACTAATCTTGCTATTTGCATATTCAAGATTCTGTTTTAGAATAACACTTGACTTCAATACTAAGACATAGTTTTTGTTCTGAATCTTATAGACTGTAATGTTTTAATACAGTTATTCTGAACAAATCGGTGAACACGTGTCTTCTTTCCGTAGCGGCTTCAGCGTCGCCTCGGCCGTGGAGAACAGAATATTTAAACCGGTGTCGATGCAAACGATGTGGTGAGATTGAGTTTTTTCTTCCTCCCTCATTAGTTCACAGTTACATACAACATATAATTATAAATAGTTATTTTCTTTTTATGCTTTTTTCCCCACTATGCTCCCTTTGTGCCACTTCTTTTCGAGTTTGAATCATGTATAAAACTATAATACGTAATTGTTAATGATCTGTTTGAAAATTCTACGTAGTTACATTTGATGATAAAGTTTGAGGTACATTGAACTTGAAATGAATAGTTCAAAACACTCAACACTATCTTTCTCCGCTCAAATACATCGTTTTAACGCTGTTCTCTTCAAACGGCGCGGAGGTCGGTGTTGCAGGCGCTGCACGGATGCTGCGAGCGGGCGGTGAAGGCGGCGGTCATCCCCGGGAACGGTCTGGAGTGGGCTGAACACTATCACCAGCACATCGAGTCTGAGCGCATTTGTCTGAACGAGTGGGAGGCCATGGACGACCTGGAGTCCGTCAGAAAGGACAGCTGTGGATCATGGTGACTCACACATGCTACTTCTGTTAGATTTAGATTAAGAGATGCTTTACTTGACATTTCAGTGTTGCATCACAAGTTACAGAAGAGTAGGAATGAGGAGCACACAACACAAGATAATAATAATAATAATAATAATGCAATGGTTTATTATAGCGTTTTTCTGGAAACTCAAAGACGCTACACAGGTCATTATTCTTTCCCTCCAAACACGGTGGTGATAAACTACTACTGTAACCACAGCTGCCCTGGGGCAAACTGACAGAAGCGAGGCAACCAAAATGTGACATCAGCCCCCTCTGACCAATCACTCACACACACCAGACTCATTCTAGGACAGGTGAGTGAAGTGTCTCCCCGGCTGCGGCTGCGACTGTGGCACCTGGTGTTCCCTCAGGTCTCACATCACAGTACTAACCAGGCCCTAAAGAAGCCCCGGTGATCCAACATATTATATTCCAATCAATGGCTTGTGCTCAGTAGCGCGTGGGATCTACATGGGGACCGAAAGATTAGCGGAACTCTCCCATATTTGGGCCTTGTCTGGTCCTCCTGTTTCTGCGCAGTGGATGAGTTCACGTGATGCTTTACACCAAAAGCTAATAATACCCTGGCCTATCCAGATATTATTATAGATCCATGGCCCTGCCCTGCACAGCTTCAGAGGTCTGACGGGATCTGGCTTACAAATGTTTTTTGTGTGGCAACGAGATAGAAAAGTGAATATTAAGTATACCACAACCACTACTACTTCGTGAAGCAATAGAAGCTATTCTCGGCATTGAGCATCTGTCGTTGTTGTTTATGAAAAAAATTAAAACCTCAGACATTTTCTTTTTTGCTTTTCACTTCCCATGGATCCGTGTAGCGCACCTGAACCCTCACGTTTACCCTACATTTGTTTTATCCCCTTATGCACTCACTCCTCTTCAATGATGCCAACTATCAATATCTAACTTTAACTCCAACTCTATAATTGCAGTGCGCTACTTTCTTTTTTAAAAGTGTTTGTTCTACATTTAATATAACCCCCTCCCCACACAAAGAACCCATGTTGTTTGCAAAGTCTTGCAAAGTTTGTGAATAAATACAACATGCTGTCTTTAATCTTGCATACTTGTAAGAAAGAGCCGGTTGAGTCATTATTTGAAGGTCTGGGCTGAAAACTGATTGGCTGGATGGTATTGGTCCTTCCTTCTTCACTTTTCTCAAACAAGTAAATCCATGAATAATTACAATACAGTTTTTTAAATGGAATAGAGGTAGCAGACTCCATGCATTTCTTGGGTACTATATTAACCCTAATTCATAACCATGCATGAATTCTCTTGGTAATTTACTAGGCCTAAAACAGTGCACTGTTTCTACATGGCACCTTTCATAATGCTCTTGCTGTAAAGCTTGTAATCATTAAAGCGTTTTATTCGCCCCCAAAAGGCTCAACAAAAAACAATACTGTGTCTTTTTCATAGGTCTGAAGACAGAGTTTCCAAAGAGAAGCTCATCAAAGATCAGCTTCGAGACATCATGATGACTGAAGACCTGGACAATCTCACATGCAGAATGGTGAGAGCGCTCTATAATAATGTAATTATCATATATTTTAAGGATCCGACGTGGGAAATGACTTGCTTACTGTGTTGAGCTTGTCATGTGAGTTCTGTGTCTCGAGCCTCTGCGAAATATGTAGGTGCCTCAGTCTGCCCCGAGGCACAATGCTTAGGAATGAGTAAGCTGACTGAGAAAACACGAGAATGTAAAAATGCTCACGAAACAAAAGTTATAGTTAATTCTGTATTTATGACTACAGGTGCACACCGCCCTTAACACCAGACTTGGCTTCGACATCAGACCCTTCAAAGAGTACATTGACAATGAGATCCTGGTCACCATGGCTCAGATGGACAAACCCTCTCAAATCTTTGACTACCTCTATCTAGTAAGTTGTGTCTTTGTTGACTAAAGAAAAAAACATGGTGTAAGAATCTATTTGTGTGTTGGTTTTGGCCTGAAAGCTGACGGAAATGCTCTTTCTCCAGGATGCAGTCATGTGATGCGACTTCCCTTTTTTGCGGGGCATCTGTTTTAAGTGATAGTGAAGACTAGACCTCTGCAAAAACTCTAAAACTGTTTTATGCGTGTTTTACTCAGGGCTCAGAGTGGAATGCTGCCAATTTGGAAGAGCTGCAGAAAAGCAAGTCAGTGATATTTTTCTTGTAGCTACAGTACTTGCTGGATTATTTAGAGGTGCGACTTGGTGGTGCAGTGGTTAAAAACATGTACAACAGTTCAGGGTGAATGAGTGTGTGATTGTGAGTGTGTTCCGGACAGTTAGCATGCACTGTCCCAACCAAATAAACCATAAATAAAGAGCACCTGTATACAAACTGCACCAGCTAAATATGAACAGAAAATAATATCTTGTCCAAATGTAGACCGTACTTGAATATTTTCAATATAAGTCGCAGGTTTTCATGTTGTAATGTGACACTCAACCAACAACTGATGGAGCAAAACAAAGCTGATTGACGTTTTAACTGGACACAACAAGTTTTAGCACTCTTTCAGTTTTGACTTGCACTTTAGTGAATCCAGTCTGTTTTGACAATAAACGTGCATGACATTACTACTAACACTTACATCCAAATGTCAAAATAAGTCCATAAACTCTGCTCTGGTTATATCCTAAAAATAAGTCCTGTGTATTACCCTGCACTTCCTCATCTCTCTGCTGTTCACATAAACACACAAGAAGCAGGAATGTATGCCACATCATCTGCAGCTGATTGAGCCGTGTCCAAATCTGTTCCTGTGCTCCGGCATTGCACTAAAAAATTAAAAATACATAGAAAATTGTCCTTATTGCTACATAGGCCGCAGAGTTCACAGAAGTTGACTAAAAGTTGCAGCTTATAGAGTCCAGCGAGTACTGTTATTGCTTGTTATCATAGAAATGCAATTCATGAGTTTGCTCTGTTCACATGTGCTTTCAGCGTTGGCTACATTCTGAACGTGACCAGAGAAATAGACAACTTCTTCCCCGCATCATTCACTTATATGAACATCCGTGTGTATGACGTGGAGGAGACTGACCTGCTGTCGCACTGGCCCGATACGTACAGCTTCATCAACAAAGCAAGGTGTGGAATCACTCGGAGCGCCTCAGAGGCCTGCGGCAATAGTTCATCTTTTAATAACTTTAGACATTACCTCATCAATCAATCAAGCTTTATTTGTAGAGACAGAGGGCAACACAAAGCGCTTCACGGTCCACATCACACAATCATCACATTAAACAAAATAGCAATTAAAATCACACAGGTAATTTGAAGGTATATAGGAGGATTTTCTACTTACCAATCATCAAAAAGTGGAGAGGCAGGTTCTTTCCTAAAATTTGTGAAAATCCTCCTGAACCTTTTAAAACTTTAGAATCACACAAGGGATTAAAATAATAAATAGCCACAGTGCATTAAAAATAGTCTTGTTTGGCAGAGCAGCTAATTGTGGGTTAACCTTGTGGGCTGTTTTTCCTCTTCGTGTCCTGGGCCCATTAACCTCATCAATATTTTAATTAGTAAGTGCAACCTTTATTATTATGATTTTAAATTCCGTGTGTTGGCCTCTCACAATAACACATTTACATGGACAATAAATGATTCTGAATTACATTGCGACAAACGATACGACTGTAACTAATACTCATGACCCTCAAGCATCAACACTAGACTTTTCTCCACAAAACTGAAAAAGCAAGGCTTGAGCAAAATCAGAAGTGTGAGCACTAAAACTGGATTTAGTTTGGACAAATGGGGCCAGTTAGTATTTTTATTCATGTGTTGTTGTTCTTTTCTTTTTAAACGTGTTCCTTCACTGTTCTCCAAAAGCCTAACCAGGGAAGAGGGCTGTAAATTAGCCTTTGTGTACTTGACATCGACAATGTTTTTTGTACTGTCCTTGTCAAATAAATAGTTTTTTTAAAATTATTATTCACTTTATAGCAACACAATAAAGTCAAGTAGTTCTTTGAGTTCCCTTGTTTCATTGAAAAAACTGTTTTAGAAAATCAAATGTTGAATTACGTAATATTTACTTGTTAAACCCTGTAGATTCAGAAAACATTATTGATCCCAGGAATCAATAATGGAGCAGTGAGCCAGAGCTGACTCTACAATCAATCAGAGAAATAGTGCATTCAGTTCACAGCAGGTTACTGTATAAAAGCGAAAATACAATACACAATACCGAACAGTTTGACAGCAGAGGGCACAACAGAATTGGACAAAATATAACAAGCAACATCACATACATTGCTCCATCGTTTCTATCATCAATTGAAAAGTTTATATGCAAACACAATCGGACAGGCCTAAGTTATAGAAGTCTATAGGCCGGCCTAACAGTGTGTATCAGTGAGCCTTATTAGGCCACCTACAGTAAAGGCCTCTGTAATTAAATTGTTTTTTGTAAATATATTGACAGAAAAAGCGGACAGGCGGTGTTTGTTCATTGTAAAATGGGTAAATCCCGCTCTGCTTCGACTGTGATCGCCTACGCCATGAAGCAGTACCGCTGGTCCTTAGAAGTGGCTTTGGCTTATGTCAAAGAACGACGGTCCATCATCAAACCTAATGAAGGCTTTATGAAGCAACTCCAGACCTACAGCGGCATTCTCCAAGCCAGGTAGCCCCACAAAACGGTTAAAGCTTTGAGTCTGGTTTTGGCTGAATTTGAATTAAACACATTTTGTGTTTTCTAGCCAACAACGTCACAGCTCTCTCTGGAGACGAAAGTCGAAAGACCAAAGACAAAAATCTATTGTCAAAGGGGAAAACAAAGATAAGCAAACTCAGGACGTACAAGAAGAAGAAGACGAAGGCGTTGATGAAGATGATGAGGAGAGCGGTGAGGATGATTCCAGCTCTTCAGAGGAGGACAATGAAGAGGTGTGTGTGCTTTTATTATTATTATAATTATCATTAAAATTAATCTTTATTTCGAAGCAAAATATCAAGGCCCATAGTTAAAACATATAGAATACTTAATTGTGTTGCATCAGGAAAGTAAAAATATACATAAAGAGTTTCAGATGTTACATGCATGAGCTCCAATGGTTTCATGGTTTTGGAGGTGCACCACAGTGAGCTGACCTCAGGACTGACCCGAGTTCCAACAATTGCATCCGTCGTCACATAAATCTGAAATGCAGATTACAAAGAGAGGCAGAACAAGATCGAAAGCCACAAAACGCAAACATTACACTGCTGCGCCGAGGGACAGTCTGTCGAGGATGTGTGTATATTTGTCTTTGTATAAAGATATTTTGTAGCTCTCCATAGCTGTGCAGTGAATACAGGTGAGCAGTAAGATTCAAATAAAGTTACCTTTACCTCAGGAGAACACGATGAATAAATCTTGTTTTTATTATTATTATTATTGTGAAAGAGTGGGACACTCTGGTGTTGCTGATCTGAGCGCCTTCACTGTAAACGGGGCTCCGGTTAGAGAGCAGAGGTGAAAGGGAGAGAAAGGCAGGTGACCTCACTAGTGACGTCACTTAGTCAACAAAATAAAACGGCCAAACAAATAAGACTTTCTGACAATTATTATTATTATTGTTATTATCATTATCATTGATGCTTTATATTAACAGTAGCCATGTCTTCCTTTGTAGGTTTTTCCAAACGTTGATGGGAATAGTTCAAACTCTCAACAGGAATCTTCAGAAGCACCAGACTCTAACCCAGCCATCACAGTCACTGAACCGAGCAAGGTAATATTCAAATTAAACTATAAACTTGAAGATTTCATAAGGTCTAAATTGTCAGTGTTGAAACTATAACTTGTTTTTCTTGTAGGTCGCCTCCAGCGTTAACCGCAGCGGCAGAATGAACCTCTTCTCTCTCATGCAGTCTATTAGTGAATTAGATGACGACCACCCAGGGAGCGAGAAGGTAAAGATGAAAAAAAAAACGCCTGGATTCTGCTCTCTTACAGCCTGGATAGTAAACATTCTTCTGTTATAGCTCCCGGGAAGTCCTCGGCGCTCTCCAGGGCCAAGGAGGCGGAGTCACAGCCGCAAAGGTCTGGCTCATCAAAGAGAATGTGTGGACGTTTCACCGGAGCCACGGAGCCTTCAAGATGCGGGTCAAAATCAATAGGAACTTTTGAAACAAATACAAGAAAATAAAAGCAGCAACCAAAGTAATTAACACTTGAGAAATTAATTAGAATTACATAATCTAAACTTATACACATTTATCAAGTTCAACCTGCAGTATTTTGATTGTGAGGTGCTAAGATTGTCTGATTAGGGGTTAACGAAATTGACTCTGTTTCTAAATTTACATTATTTTTTGACTGATGCTCCATTTAAGTATTCCTGGTGTTTACAGAGCCAATTGTCTATGCAATACCCAACTGTAGTCTTTAGACCTCAGTCCACCCTACTAAGTGCATTCATTACTAAGTTTAGGCCAGTTTTATGGCACGGGCCAAGCTGCCAAATCCTATGTTCAAATATGCCAAGAATTGTTTTGAAATGTATTCTTTTCAGTCTCAAAATCAACGACAAACATGTCCAGGCCACAAGTGCCTTCGACTGAGAATGGTGAAAGTAAATAGTGTGGCTGTATTTTGCTTTGTGTGTGTAATTCCTTGCTTTAATGGTCACATGTCTGTACCCCTGGACCTGATGAGTGACATTTTTGGGACGCATGCTATTTATCAAGTGAACAACGCTCTTTTCTTCCTATTTATATATTGTCTTAGAAATACTGTAATTGACTATATTTTGTCTGCTCATGTGGAGTATTTTGAATTCATGCTGGTTCTTTTTACTTGTACCATATCATATTAGGCTTTTAAACTGCATGCTCACCATGCACTTTATCATGATACACTGTTCCACTGCCTGAGCCATTATCATGCTGTTCATTTATGATTGTCTTTTTGCCTCTCACAAGCGCTCTGGATGACTTTAAACAAGTGCTATTTAGAAACATCCTTTTTACTTTACCAAGAGTGAAATAAAGTTCTTCACTTAGTATTTATTATCTTTCAATGTTATATCAATCTCCTGCAGGGAAAATGCCAATGTCATTTTATGACAGGGACGGGTTGCTCAATGATGAGGGCCTGCAGCCCGTTTCTTTTTGCGCTTGCAATACATTTAAAGTTGAAGATCCAGCTTATTTTGTATAGCTTGAATTCACAGAAGCAGTCGTCTCGGCGGACTTAACAGATCAAAGAGTCATACAATGAGAACACAGGAAAGGCTAAAATTAAGAAAACAAAAAGGAGCCATTGGTCCATAGAATCCTAAGATCCAAGGTACATTCTTACTATTCTACACTACAAATGACAAATAACTCCTTTTACAGGCCGACCTACTGTGAATATTTTTTTGTCGTAAAGGCAAATGTACACTAAAGCATGCAAGGTAATTTACTGAAACAAAGACTTAATTTAAGAGTTCTATTTATTTACAAAGAAAGTCACATTATGTACCAATATATTTTCGTCGTGGTTCACTGAGAATAATCCCACCATCTTTCATGGATTTTCTGAAGCACTGCACCTGTAAACACATCCGTGATCAGAAGCAGCTCTAATGGAGAAATATTTCCAGATGAATATCATGTAAGGCACATATTTACAGCATCAGAGCGGTAGGTCCAGGGTATTGCTCTAAACACCATCCTCGTGATGCCAGCCTGTCTGCACCGCAGGGCGAGGACCTGGCCCACGGCCTGAGACGCAGCCACACAGTTTGTGGAGGGCAGTTCCTTTTTCAGGGCCCACTCTTTAGTAGAACAGGTGATCACGGGGTCAGGGGAGGAGCTGGAGAACACCTCTGCTGTCATGTGGTGCTGTGTCCGAGAAAATACTAATCTGAAAAACAACAATTTACCGAGAAAGTTCATAGGGTATGCTTTCAAATGTCAAACATTTCCGATCGCCTGACAGTCATTGCATGTATTGTATTGGTATCTACCTGTGATAAAACTCTTTATGGGGCCAAATAGTTTTCCATCCTCGGTCCTTCACAGCTAAAGCCATTTGCTCCAGGTTCCGGGGGTTTCTGTTCACAAATGTGGGGCTGACAGCTTCATTCTGCTCCACCGCGGGCTCTGCTTTGGCTGCAGCCTGGCTGACACATCGTGCTGACAACGATAGACAGATTAAATACACGTTTTGTAACAACAACAGCTCAAAAGAACATAACTCACCTGGTTGTTTCGAAGCATGTCGCTGAATATGACCGAGCAGCACCCGCACATTGCGACTAACTTCCCTCAAAGCCATGTCTCAATAAGTCCACAATGCAACACACCTACATCCGCGTCCTGTCAAATGCAAGATAAATTAACTAACAATAAATTACAATAACTAAAATATACGGTAGACCTGTGTTTAGAGCATGCAGAAGTTATATTAGATCCAAGATGCGAAACGCCATTATGACATTCTAACAACATCCGGTCGTGTTTGGGTGCGACTTGGAGTAGCCCTTCGGAGGGAAACGAAAACATTAGAGAAAGGTTCCGCATAGGTAACTCGTTATTTGGACATTTATTAGGACATTATATATATGATCTAATGAATAGCATATAAATAACAAGGAAACTCCATAAGGAAACTATATGAAATGATGCCATTTGTCCATCAGTCTATGGTCCCAAGAGAAGGTCAGAACAAATCAGACCATATGCTGGGTTCATCTTACATTGAAAACATTTATTCAATGTATTCTAAGAAGAGCCCTGGAAGTCACTATTTGACACTTTGGGCTGAGAAAAGATTGAGTGAGAATATGCATGTGTATACTATACCAAAAGGAAATGTTTAGAATTTTATTTTAGGATACTCCTTTTTTATATTTGAAAGATTGGCACCTGCCCTAACCCAATCATTCAATAAAACAAACATGGGAAAATTAGACATTTTATTGTGTTCTTCACATTTACAGTGCAAATCAGTGGTAAATTATCCATACATTTTTATATAAGGCAAAGCAATTCATTTGATAACCTGAAGACTTATGCCTAAACAAGCACTGAGTCCCAGTAAGGCACATAAAATCATGAACAATAAATATTACCATTTTATGTGGAAGACATGGAAATGAGAAGACTTGTTGTTGGCTTGTGATAGTCTCTCACAGTGATCATAGGAGAGAATATCAATGCCTTCCCTTAAAGTGTAGAAAATAAATAACTTTCCACTTCCCTTTTAAGAACATTTTGTAGTTAGATACAAGGCCTCATTGTTGGAAGAATTAGAACAGTGGGGTTTGAGGGAGGGATGAAAAAAAGGAGTAACAGTCATCCTTTTTTTCATTTGACAAAGATAACAGTAAAACTGGAACAGTATGTTATTGCAACATTTATCTTGGTTTTGGCAGTCCCAGCACATCTATATAGCTGCTGCATTTATTAATGAGGAAAAGGAGAAAGGCATGAGCTTGTAGCCAGTACCACTGTAGAACTTGTTTTGAAATTCAACCCTGCAAGACAGAAAATATAAGTCATGATTGCGAATGAGACATTAAGTTTAAAGCTGGAGTACCTAACTATTCTTGTTTAATACAAATACCTTTTGTTTGTCCCAACAGAAAGTCTTGTTTAGGTAACATTTTGTGAACCAGATCACAACATGCTATATTTATCTTATGAGATTGTACATACTGAGAGCTTATTGACTGAGAGATCTGGTGCTCTGGTGACAGAGGTCGAACATGCTTGTTTATGTGTGTGTGTGTGTGTGTGTGTGTGTGTGTGTGTTTGTGTGTGTGTGTGTGCGTTCGTGCTTAAACTGGTATTCAAACCAAACTGTTTTGAGACTTAGAAGCTACTGTAGTAACAGAGTTTTTTTAAGACATAGTTAATTTATGATGGTTTTAGGGTTAAGTACTCCAGCATTAAAAAAAAACAAAAATATTTTATTATATTTTCAGATTTTTTTTTACCAGTGTAGACGCAGGGCATGGAGAAACGCAGACAGTCCCTCCATAATCAACAGGATTGAGACTGTGAGCACGGCGAAGCAGGCAAAAATAACAACTAGTACAGCTGCCCCGACGTAGCCTTCCCACTTCAGGGCTAACCGCATCACCATTTCCCATAGAACCTCCGACAGTTCTGTGAATGGAGAAGAGCCATAATTGTATCCACAGTCATGTGCATGTGACAAGGCAGCATATAAAGCCCAGCACATAGCTCTTTCTTCTTAAAGAGGAAGTTTATTTATGGAGTATGTAGAAAAGCGGTTTAGTCTGGTTTTACTGACGTGCATGAGCCAGACTGAGAGCCCAGAGTCGCAGGTAGGACGCGGTGTTGGAGATGCAGCCCAAGCAGTACTCTATGGTGTGAATGGCTTGGTGCATGTACACATCTGCTGCATCAAAGCCCTAATGGCAGAACAGTCAAAACACCACAAGAACTGCTGGTTATTATCACAAGCTTTAGCAGAATGACAACACAAATAGAAAGGTTTTACTTCTGGTTCTGTGGCTGCTCCCTCAACATCCCCTGTTCTTGTGTTGATTGAACCGTCTTCATCCACAAGTGGTTGCCTGTCCTCCACCTGGTATGGGCCACAATACGTCACAGTCAGTAATACAAATATTTAAACATGTACAAGGATAAAAATGTTCATGTCTGAGAAGTAAAAGGTGCACGAGGCTTCAGCCACTGCATCTGACAATGTGTGAGTGACTGACAAAAGTATCCTTCAAAGATTTTAAGCGCTAGATGCTCATTTGAGAAAGTATCTATATTGAAACATTGGGATGATTGTAAAAACATTTTTACAATTGTTATTTTTTAAATAAAATATCAGGTCCATTTCTTGTTTCGAGTTTGTAATTTTAGTATTGTAACCACACTGGAGTGGACTCAGGCAGGCGATTTCACAAGTTAGAGATGAGAACAGTGAAGAATGTATATACACTGTATGTGTATGTGCGTGTTATTTGTTTCCTCTAAGGGCTCACACTGATTGTCTTCCACGCTGTTTTTTGAGAACTATGCTATTGTAAGTCCAAAATCAGCTTGATTTACTGTCAGTGTATGTCTTTCAACAGGATTGTATATCATTGTACTATTGTACTAACGAGCATCTATTTCAATTTTAGTTTAATTGTATTTTGTCATTCCTCTGTTAAAACGAGGGTCATGCACTTGGGCATTCTTTACAAGCCCTGATGAAAACAGCATGTAGAAACGCGTTGGCGAATTAAAACTATAATTCTCTGCGTGAAGAAAGTGAACAATGTATGTTCTATCATATATTTAGTAATAGAAACCCAGTTGTAGTAATTGTTTGTGGAGACACAGATTAGTTTAATGTTGCTGTTACAAACTGATATACAGAAACTCACCACAGTGCGATGGGGCCTGCTTCTGTGCGTCAAATATTCATACGTGGGTTTTCCGAGGAGAAGAACCGGGACAGAGCACAGCGCCAACACCACCAACACCTTCTGCACGATCGACTGAAGACAAATGTTGGTTAAAGTGAACGTCATTTACTTTCAAAACTGAGAAGAGAGTGCAACCTTTTTACGACAAGCGCAGGTTAGACCCACCCATACTCAACCCTATCCAACCCTTGAGGACCCTTGTCATTGGTTAAACTAATCTCCTCCATAAAATATTAAATAAATCTATCATTGTTAAATAATACTTACTGTACATAATGGTAGAGTGCCTCAGATATATATATTTTTTGACTGTTTGACTGTGTGCATTGGAATTAATTTTATTGCATTTTCTTGTGTATTTTAATGTGTTCTGTGAAGGGCGCTCTATAAATAAAGGTTACCGGAGTTGAATGTGGGTTCTAACAAAAGCATACACACACACACACACACACACACACCTGTCCTGTGTAGAGCTGAGGATTATCGTCATTGTCGGTGAAAAGGAACATGTCGATAAAGTGAATGAGAATGCTGGGGGCGTATCTGGACTGATCCGGAGTGTAGACGATCCACTTGAAGACGATCATGAAAAGCAGGTATCCAAAGAGACACAGCATGAAGAACAGCTCCGGAATCAGAACGAGGAACACGTTGCTGATCTGACGAAAGTGTCTGAAGGAGAAAAAACACGTGAGGAGAAAGTAAGTTAGTAATGTTTATTGTTGTAAATTGTTTATGTTGTGAAAAATGCTTTACAATGTTCAGAGTTCAGATAGGGGGTTTAAAGTTTTTCCTTGATGATCCAGGACAGACAACATTCATGGACATTGCTCTCTCCCTCCTATGGACCAATACATAAGTGTTCTATATATACATATATTTTTTGAACTGTTTGATCCTGTGATCTGTGTTTGCGATTTCAACGGTTTTGTTATGCCCTCTGAGATAACTACTGTTGTGATTAAGGGCAAGAATATTTATAGTCATTGTGAAAAAATTGTTTTTTACAATTTATACAAGAATGAATAGAATTGAATTGAACATTGTTCCATTCTCTCCACACGGTGATGACAAATGCGAGACGACAAACACACTGGCGCATCCAAGCCCCCAACCAACACCATCCATTCACTCACTCGTTGCATTCCGACCTATTATGCATGTTTTTAGTGGTAGGGGAAACCGGAGCACGTGGAGGAAACCTACGCAGACACGGGAAGAACATGCAAACTCCACTCAGAAAGGCCCTGTTCCTACCGGGATTCGAACCCAGGATGGTGGTTGAGTGGACAGCACTCAACCACCGTCCGGGGTTTGAATCCCGTGCCGCCCAAATTACAAACGTAAACCATTTCTTATTTGCAAAGTGAGATTTTTGTTACATGTAGTTGAAGAATGACAAGCAGACTCCAAACGTCATGTGAATGATGCCGATGATGACCGACATCTTCATCTTGTAGGAGTTGAGGAAAGTTAACTTGTTGTTGGATAAACCCCAAATCTAAAACAAAGAACGCAACATAATAATACATTTAAAAAGTAAACAAAATGGGAAAAGAAAAATACATTTAATGTGTCGTACCGGGTCAATGCCAAAGGGATAAGGACTTGTGAAAACCCCAGTCACGTTGGGATCCATCGATAGATATTGGTTTCCTGCAATAACTGAGGAACTGGAAGAGACGTTAGATATAGAACAATGGATTAACGACGGTAAACATGAACTATGAAGGTGAAACTCAGAAGATTATAATGTCGTTCAAAATTCATTTAATTCTGTAATTCAATAAATGTATGATATCAGACTCAATACATGCAATGCCTTTATTTGAATATTTTCTAAATGTACTGTAAGCCACAACCATCAAAAATCTCAAAAATTGTAATTTTTTTTCAAGCTGTGAGCCAATAAAATTGAAATGAAAAAAAAAAACATTGTAAGTTGAATCACAGAAGTAAATGGACCTTTAAACGATATTCTAATGGTCCGAGTCGCACCTGTAAAAGCACATTGGATACAAATGCACGTCATGTTCTTACTTCCATATATTGTTGTCAAACATCGGGGTGACGTGCCACGCGGAGCTGAACGGGCTGAGACCTTTGCTGAAGCACTCGTTGTAAATGGCACCAGTGTAAATGGAAAACAGTCCCATGAGCAGAATCAGGTACCTCCCTCCGAACATCATTCTCCAAATCTAAAAAGAAATAGCCATGAGTCACAACTTTACTGCAAACAATGATCAAAAATAAATCCAAAACTGCTCAAATTTGGCAAAATGTATCTTAAAGCTGCACTAACTGACTTTGGGATTTTGAAGCAGCAGACTCGCTGGCCTCGCTCTTTCTGCTCCCCTCCCCGCACCCACGAAGCTATCGCCCCCCACACACACCCACTGTTGGGACGGAGCTAGTGTCTCTCAATATGGATAATACATGGACATGGATTTGCACGTGGATGGCGTGACCATAGAACGATAGAACCGGGAAGCGCGGAGGAACGGGACTTTCTTTTGGATGGCTGTCTCGCTGTGTAAGCAGTAACCGGTGACGAAGACACACGAAGTTTCAGGTTAGCTCCGCCACTTGTTGTGCTAACTCAGCCGTCTATGCTAACGGACCTGTAGATTTCTCACGAAAGTGGGGGTCAGTGGTCCGCTGTGATTGGTCACAATCTGCGACCCGAAACACATTCTCTTCCTTGTTTCATCAAAACTCGATCTAAAATATAATGTCACGCCAGCACAAATCTGCACTACTTTTTCTTCAAAAGGACGTATATCCCAATGCACTACATGGATAGCTTTTTTGTAATGAATACAAAAATAAAGTCAGTTAGTGCAGCTTTAATTTGAGCACCTTATGACATGCTTATGACTGCCTTAAAACAAAATTTGCCAATGGGACAAAGCAAAATGATTTTGTTTTAAAAAGAAACAAGAAATGCCTCCCTTGCTAAGAGAAAATAAAGCAACAGTTCTTGATTTAAAACCAAATGGATTGTCCCATTGGTAAATCTTGTTTTAAGACAGTCAGAATGTGCTCAAATTAGGATTAAAACATATGACTCATATTTAAAAAAAATTTGCAGCGTTGTTTTAGAGAACTACCATAGTTCTTTGGACCCTGTGGCTTATATAGTGATGTGGCTAATACATGTATTTCTATTGAGGCAGAGTAGTCAGAGCCCAGTTTGTGAACATGAAATCCTGTGTTTTATATTCAAGTGCGGCCTATATGGTCGACAAAAAGGACGTTCTTCTAAAATGTTGCTGGTGCAGCTAATATACAAGTGCGCTTTTAGTCCAGAAAGTACGGTACTTGACAAAAAAATGGCATGTTGATTGCTTACTTCGTTGTTGTTGTTCTTTAGTTTGGGGTCATTTTGTTCGAGCACCATCCACAAAGCAGCCAGCGTCATGAGCAAGCCGTGCCCCACGTCACCAAACATCACCGCAAACAAGAAGGGAAAGGTGATGATGGTATAGACGGCTGCGGGGAGAGGAGCAAACATGAGAGATGTGAGGAGAGAATGTGTTTTAATGTTTGAAATGAGTTGTGCTGGATGCATGCCTGGGTTAACTTCACGGTAACTCGCCACTCCGTAGGCGTCCACGATGTTCTGGAAGCCGCTGGTGAAGGAGTTCATGGGAAACAGCGTCGGGGGTGAGGTGGTGGAGGGCAAGCGATTGTAGAACGAGTCAACGCTACTCCCACTTTTCCTCTGAAGAAAACAAAGAAAATGTGTAATAAGAGGCATTTAGGATTTAGGATACTAATAACTAATTAAAAACAATTATTTAGATTCAGAATACATTGTCGCACTCACACACATTAATAAATCGGTCAAACAAGGAACCTCTGGATCTAGTCAACAACACCATGGCATTTGTTCTGAACAACATTCTGGATCCTATAGTTTTTTTTAGCTTTTTATTTCTCACAAAGTAGAGTCTCAGGGCAAGGAACACTGACATTAATCCAGTGGCATACTATTAGTTCATCTGTTTTGGTAATTATTTGTATATTTTCTAATCTGCAATTAGCAAGTCAACAATGTTGTGAATTCAGCAAAAAATTACATGAAATAGGCTAGAGCAGGCATTGCTACACAATGTGGTGGATATATACCCTCCTTCCATGTTTAACCAACACTTATGAACATCCAATATAATTTGATCAAGCGTCACATTTACCCCTCCTTCTCTCAGGGCGGACTGCAGCTCCGGGAGTTTGGCGACCGGACACCAGGCCTCTGCGATCAGGCATTTGTCTGTGACCGAGGGACTGCAGAGGTTCAGCACGGCCTGCACCGCCTTACACTTCTGCACCTTCACCTTCCACTGGGGCAGCAGCGCGACCGCCCGCGTGGTCAGCTGCTGCATGAAGTTCTCCGTCTGACCTAAAACCTGCACCAGCCAGAGGCAGAGAGAGGCAGGTTTGAGGAGCTTTGAACAATATCACAATCTACAAACATTACGAACTTGATCAATGTGACGAGATGTAACTTACGGACTGTATGTCTTGAATCCGGCCTCCGAGTCCCTGGAGGATTTCTTCCCTTTCCACCGAGCTCTCGGGATACGCAAATATCTGTGTGCGGAAGCTGCAACAGAGACAAACGGGTATAGTTCATGTTCTAGAATTCTATTTCAGTTGGAAAGGTGAAAGGTATGAGATGTATAAATTGGGACATACCAATCACATATTTTCTTGACCTTTTGGCCTATCTGATCTCCCCAGTATGAAATCAGAAACACAGTCCATTGAACACTTTCCTTCTGTAAAAATAAAAAAATAAAAAAATAATTTACTAACAAAAAGCACTCAAAATTTGTTTATTTGAAAACAGTGGAGTACCGTGTCTGGATGCTCCAGCCGATCGTCCATTTCCTTGAAGTCCACAATAATGAATCCTCTGCAGGCGCGCCACAGCAGCCGCTCAAACGAAGGCACTTTCCAGGGGTGGACCACTCCGGCTACGAAACTGACACAGGAGAGGTTTTTAAGCAGTGCGTTTGTTTTTTGATATGTAGATACTAGTTTTGGCTTCAGCTACTAGCTTTAAGACAAGTTAAAATTGTACCTTAAGCGGACGTCTTGGCGATTATCAAAAAGCCCTTGGTTTTCTACTATCTGTGCTGGTGGTGGAGCCTGCAGAAAAAAGGTTTTGTTAGAACCAAAATGCAAAGAACCAAGTGAATGAGAATCTGAAAAATATGGTTAGACACTGGCTCTTTTGAACTATATATCCTGATCATCTTTAATGATCAGTATATATAGTTATTGACAATATTTAACGCCTTGTCATACAGAAATATCACTGTTAGTTTTATATAGCTGAGGTAAAGCAGGGGGAATTCAATAGATCGTACGTAATCTTAATTTTTATAGCTTATTTCAGAGACATATATATATATATATATATATAAATAAAATATACATACAGTGCTTTTCTGAACATTCAAAGACGTTTCACTTGGCATTCATTCACTCCATCCATAGTGGTTATAAGTAGTGATGTGCTGAGCGTGCCGGGTCTTCGAAGCGTGTACCGAGTAAAAAAGGGGCGTATTTTTTGAAGCGTGGTTCGAGGCGTGTGTTGGTGACGTTCGAAGCCTCGCGTAGCGGCCGCACCACGTCACGGTTCATATAGTGCTTCATATAGTTCGGAGAGTGCATTGCTTTGACAGGTGCTTTGTGATCCGCGGCTGTACCATAGACTGTATTGGCTGTCCCCGTCTGCCTCTGTGTGCGTACGTGTGTGTGCGTACGTGTGTGTGCGTACGTGTGTGTGCGTGATGTGGAGCAGTCCTGTACTAAGTATAGAGAAACTACTTCATATGAAATACAATTAAAAACGTTTCACTTTATTAATCCTCATATATCAAGGCTTCAAGTTATTAGTAATAATACGCTGGATGATACATTTCACAACAGCTGTGTGGCGCAGTCGGTATATGACGGACTCCGAAGCAGAAGATATAGCGTTCGAATCCCGGTCTACCCATAATAAATTTTGTGTTGCAAAGTAAATGTATTTATTTATTGGGAATAAATGGTTTGTTGTGTTTAATTAATCCACCTCTTGGTAGTTTTTCCTCCATTAATCACTTTCTGTAGAACTGTATTACTTTGGATGTGTTGGTTGTATCAACACAATTGACTGAAAGACTCAAATAGTTCATAGTTCATGAAACATCATTTCAAACACAACATGTTAGACCATAGATTGTAAATATACATTTTAATATTAGACCCCACCATTCATTGTAAGCACTTAAGAGTGTTATGTATTTCTTTGTACACACCATGGCGTAGTGGGGCATGATTCACCTCGAGCCTTCGACTCATTGGCCGAGTAATAGGCTGCGATCCCTCAAGGCTTCATGGGGCTTCATATTGCCATCACTAGTTATAAGCTACTACTGACACCACCTACCAATTCTCGCACACACAACACTCATTCTAGGGAATCTAGGCAATCTAGGCGAAGTGTCCTTAGCCAAAGGCACCTGGTGTTACGAGAGGTCTCCTGCCATATTACTGACCAGGCCCTGCCCTGCTTAGCTGCTGAGGTCTGACGGGATCAGGCTTTCACAGGCAGGATACTCACCTGAGAGGCTGTGATGGAATGGGTTTTGGTCAGGACTCCTTTGTATTGACAGAGCTGAGTTAGTTGAGCCTGAAGACTGTCCCGGTTTCTGGACACCTAAGAACACTATATGGATTAGGCATTTATCACATTCATCCCAAATTAATGTGATAAATCACATTAATCCCAAATATTGTAAAACCCTTTCCAAGACTTTTCCCAAGAAAAATAAAAAATAAATAAAAGTATTAATGAAAAAGATAAATAAATTGAAAAAAACAACATACAATTGTGTCATAAATGATATAAAATCAACAGCCATCTATAAAATAAAAGTAGATTGTTTTCATATATAAAAAGATAAATTGAGGACAAGACTTAAAAGCCAGAGAATAAACGTATAGGCTAACACGTACCTCTCGCAGCTCTCGGGCCAGTCTCTCGCCCTCCTCCTCAATTGTGATAAGCTCACGTGGTTGCGGCGCCGGAGGCATTGGGCACGGGGGAGGAAGAGGCCCACTTAAGCGAGACAGTCGCGAACGATGGATTTCTTGCTCGAGGAAAGCTGTGTAAAGACGGGTACGTTTATTTGTATAGAACAGTTCATACCATAGATTGTATATAGATGGACATTGCTAACTGACTACCTGAACGGAGAACAATAGGGAAGTGCCCATACTTGCTCTGTCTCGTATTGACTCACATTTAAAAGTAAACTGTGTCACACTCACTATTCTAAAATATGTGGTTGAGGCCTCCCTATGATCCTGGTGTTTTTATTTTGATATCGTCTTTGCAAATCCAGATATGAGCCATAAAAATGGATCAATCAGATGCCTTAATTCGCGAGGAAACACCAGCTTGCCTTAGCAACCATCTTAGCAACATGTCTGCCTTGTTACGGCCCAAAGCAAACGCTGTAAGAAAAATAAAAAATAAAAAAAAGAATTGGCTCCTGCTAGCTTATGTTCAAATTGGCTTCTTCCACAGTCGGCAATTACTGTGGTGACGTCAGCACTCAGTCAGTCACATTTATAATATATGGGTTTGGTTCAACTCAAAGTGCTTTACAAAATATGAACAGAAAGATTGAAATCATACAAGGATATTCAAATCATACACTTATAAAACAAACAATCACAGTGAATTAAAAAGTGTGGATAGAATAATACGGTTGTAGTTGCAGCGAGGATTGTCAGAAAACAGTAAAAACTATTGTTGCACTTTCACACAAAGAGAAACGTACTAAAAGTCTTCTCCAGCTCCTCGCATCGTCGGATCTCGCCGATGAATTTCCTCTGAAAGGCGTTTACGTTGGGATTCAACTGAAACAATTGAGCATAAAGAGAACAATCAGGAAAAAAGTGAATTCATCTGGGTCTTGTGAGCTTTTAATGACCGCCACCAGCTCATCACAAGTCACTCAAAACTCATTATAGAGCTACAAACAGTCCGGGAATTATCGGGAATGTGAACAATCTGTGTGTATGTTGCACTTGCAAGAATGTCAAGTCAAGATACAATCAAGAGAAGCTGAACTGTGCATTAAAGATTTTCAAGCACTCGTTTACAGGTTCCTGTTCCAGATTTAATGCAGAAGTACTGACTAATATCAAGTACAACGGTTAAAATTTTGAGCGAGAACAATATGAAGTGAATCCTGTTATTTGCGCTACTTCACTTAATTTAATTGTTCCCACAGAAAGAATCTTGTTCAAGTAAAATTTTCTAATCAGACCACAGCATGCGCCTGATTAGAAAATATTTGATCATTTACATACTGGGAGCTGATTGGCTGATTGAGAGCTAGTATATAGAAACTTAACTTTTGATAGTTTGATGGTTTACAATACATCTTATGTCTTGTGGTTTCAAAATGGGGAGTCCAGCTTTTTAAGAAAAATAGAAAATAGTGATTTTTATTAAGTCTATTTATATTTGTTTTGGGTTTTTTTCCCCTAAAAGACTTGATCACTTTTTTATCTCTGCACCCAGATTAAAGTTGAGAGGAAATCTTTAGCAGCACCAAGTCTCTACACTCAGTGCCCTTTGACTTCAGCAGCTGTAAACAATTTAAATGCAGAGTTGCAGTTGGACGCTAGTGTTGCTCTAAAATACATCAACACAGTTTGACATAAATTATGAAAAGGTCTCACCAATCCTATTAAATTGTTCACTTTAGTGTTGGCATTTGTTCATATGAGTCTTGTTTTGAAACTGGTTATAGTTTTGATCCAAATCTGGAAATAGGTTTTATTATTTATTACTCACATCTCTGAACTCGACGAGGTCCAGCTCACCAAGCTCACTGACACAGTTATAGGCAGAACCGGACTGAAGGAACAGCTGCACCAGGCAGACCTCCTCGCTGCGGAACATGGAGCCCATAGCTGTCAGCACAAGCACAATAATTAGACCAACAAATAAATGAATAATTGTATAGTTTCATATTAGGCTGGATGTGCAGGGAAATGGGAACAGAGACAAATATATATGGAACCACAGATGAAAAAAGAAGAAGTGAGAATTGTACAGGTGGGATTTCCCATTTGACAACACACTCAGCATCACAAGATCTTCAACGCATGGCGCCGTAAAGATGGCGCCGTGGCAAGAGCTCTGGTGTGTGTCGTCTGGCGCACACCGGGGTAGTCTTGCACAGTTTTTCCACTGTGGTTTTACTGCAAATGGCAAATAAATGAATCTGAATCTGAACAAGACATAGCCATAGAGAGGAGGCTATTACCGTATAATTTTGCATTTAAATGATCCAATCTCTTGAAATGTGTTTTTACATCACTTCCCTTTGGCATTAGCATTATTTCACTAGGATTGATTTGAGAATTATATTACTTACTATATAAGATGGATTGTTTGATAAAATGGCCTGAAACAAAGTCTCAACACAAAGTACACAGTGGCAATTAAAGTAATCCGACAGAAACCCTGCACAGTAAAGCTTGCACTTTAACATTAACCTGTGCTGGTAGCCAAGCACCAAAGAAATACTGTACATTCTGACATGTTTTGCTTACAATAAAAAAACGTGGAATGTAGAGATCGTCCAACAAGTTTACTGCACAGTTCACAAGCTACAGAAAAAAGGAAAACCAAATGCACTAGAATATATACAGGACACTTTGAAGGCTCACATAAAAGACACAAGAGAAATCTCAGATGGATTCGGTCACAATAGCATCAACACGAAGATGAAGACAGTTTTATCTTTACCGTGTTGTGTTGTGTTACGAGTTCCGGGTCCACTGCGCAGCCCGGTACCGGAGGACAGAGGACAGAGGACTAGTCACGGGACGGGGACAGAGCAGGACAACAGCGGGATAGGAGCGGAATTCTCACGTTGCGGAAGACTTCCCGTTTGAGACAGTCACGTTACTGTGGCCTCACGTGACACCGATCGAGTGATTCTGGTCTCAGCCTGTAGGTGGCACTGTTTCCATCTAAGCAGCGTATTATTTATTTATCGTTCAAGGGGGTATGGAAAAAAATAAAATAAATATTTATTACACGGCTCCTCACAGCAGCAGCAGAATGCTCCATTGATTTGAATGTAATTTAAAAACGTTCTACCAGTCATCATTTCTTATAACGGACCTCTCAAAACAATAATGACCGCTGCCCAACCAGATAACGGACAGATATGACCAGATGGCCATACAAACTGGAAATGTAAATGTATCTCCTTTATTTCCACTGAACTAATGCAATGGGTGCAATTGAATCAGGACCAGTTTGAAGAACAAAACTGGTTCTCAAATGTAATATAGTTCAAACTGCGATATATATACATATTATATATATGTATATATAATATATATAAATATATATGTATATATATATATATACATATATATAAATCTGCTGGATTTCACCAAGATAAATGACTTGCACTTTCTGATTATATTATGTGTCATGAATATGGTTTGTGAAATTAAAAATATAACCATTTAACGGTTATATTCTTAATTTCACAAACAAAAATAACAAATATTCTTGGACATTTCCAAATATTCCATTCCTCTATTTGAATCTCATTACTGAGACAGGCTTAAATGACGAGACATTTGCTTAATGACATACTTGCATTACAAAAGATATTTTATTGTAAAAGGGCAGGTAACACAGGTAAAATATCAAACCAATGAAAAATATACATATGGAATAAACTGAAGCACTTTTTTAATGGAAACAAAATTTAAAGACAAAATGTATGAAGTGGGAGATGGAGAAGACTGGACTCAATGCACATCAGTACATCATTATAGTTTAGCCTACGCTGCTGAAGAGATAACAGGAAGCGGATTTCACACAGACACACTGGTCAGTACCAACTTGAGTTAGCCCACATATGTCAACAAAGAAATAATAACAGCTGAAGAATCACAAAAAGTACAAAAGATTTCACAGCTGATTTTAGTACAGTCATAATTTGGTTTGAGAGTCAAACATGCCACGGTCTCAAAAAGCATGGGCTTCATTCTGTCATTACTGAGCATTTGATCTAATACACTAAAGCAAAAAAGCAGTGACAATTTATGTTTTTTTTTCTTCTAAAAATAAGATTACTACATCCACTGCCCCAACAGAAGCAGGAACGAAGACCTCCGCTCTCTCATTTACACGCTGTAAAACTTGAGACTTCTGTCCATCCCGGTAGAAGTGAGAAAACGAGCATTCTCTCCGAAAGCAACACCAGTCACCAGCCCAGAGTGCTCTGCATAACAGGGGGAAACATTCACACATGTGTAAAAGACTCAAACAGACTGTGTGTGCGTAAAACTCACCTGTAAAATTGAGAACCTCAGACCACTGTTTGCAAATGTACACACGAATGTCAGATCCTCCAACAGCCAGATATGTTCCACTCTGGTCGAAAACAAGGGACTTAACCTGTTGGGAGAGCATTTCACAATTGTTCACAGCAAATGATCTGAGGCAAGTTTAATACTGATTCTGACAATTGGAATCTTACCTCATAGTTATTGTCCAAAGTAATAGTCTTGAAATTCTTCAGTTTCCTCAGATCCCACAGTTTCAAAGAGCTATCCTGAGCTCCTAAAACACACATTGTGTCAGTCTTTATTACCTTTCCAAGTTCACGTTCCAAATGTTTGCCTACCAGTGGCCAGGTAATATCCATTTTCAGAGAAAGCAATAGATGTAACAGGTCCAGAGTGACCGGGGAAGTTGGCCACATTGGTGCGCTCCTTCAGATCCCAAATCTTGATTTGAGAATCGGCTGTTCCGGTTCCAAAAATCAGACCATCAGGATGAAACTGGGCACAAGTGAGAGCTGTAAAGAGACAAAAGTTAAAAATATTTTATTTACTTGAATAGAATGGCAAAAACAGCGGTCATCCAGCTCCTTCTCTGATCTGTTTTGGCGCATCAACAACTTTCTAAGTCCTTTGCTCTTTTGATTTATGGCCATTCATAAATAAAAAAAGTACACTCACCACATCCAGCACTTTCATCTGTGACTTTGGTGAGAACTCTACCAGTCTGGACATCAGAGAAGGCCCAAAACTAAAACGGCAAGATTTACACAGAAACAGATCAGATCAAGTTGTCGCAACAACAAAATTATTATATAAGATTTTTATCCAGACCTGATCCTCAGAGGAACTGAGCAGGTAGTCCCCAGTAGCATGCAGTGAGAGCCCAGTGACACCAGCCTCATGAGCCCGCACCACCTGGACGCAGTTCCCAGAGTTGACGGACCACACACGGATTGTGGTGTCTGGAGAGGCAGAGAACACCACAGACTGTAGGAGGAAAAGAGGGTGAGTATTATATAAAGGCGTTCTTTAGGGGTTTCAACAAGACACATAAAACCGTGAAAATAAACCATAAGGTAATGTACACACGCAGGAGGGTGTTTTCATAAACTGATATCAACAGAAGCTCGAGTTTTTTTCCCAACATGAGAGCTGTGATGCAACAGCTTGACTTGGATTTTGGGAATGAAGGAAAATCGTGGTAGAAAATGTCAGAAAACTGACGTTTCTGTCCATGCTATTCCAGAGCACTCCGCTGCCCCCTCTGCTCCAATTAGTGGTATTTGTGTCACAGAGCAGTTTCTTTGCTGCTTAAGTACAGAAAACATGCATTTTTGCATCCATTGATAATAGAGGATGCACTTTACACAGGCATATGCCACAGTCACCATCGTTCTGTGCTGATGCCAATGTGTGTTGTACTTAAAACTCTAGCTTTGCATATCCACACCCATGGGATGAAACACAAATCTTCACTTTAGGGTTTTCAAAAGCCCCAGCTTTAAGAACTGAACTCTCCGGTTACATGTAGACAACACATCAACACGTGGAGAACTGGTACCTGCGATGGATGGTAGATGACGGATGTAACTTTCTTGGTGTGGCCTTTCAAAGTTGCTACAATCTGCTCATCGTTCTTATCAAACACGACCACATTCTTGTCAGCTCCACCTGAAACATGAAGAAAGGCATGAAATCATCACCTACTCAACTATTAGTATGAATGTGGAAACTCAACAAACCTGTGAGCACTTTACTGGTGTCAGAGGGGCACAGATCAAGGGCCAGAATACCAGGTACACTGGCACTATGAAGACCCTGAAGAGAACAACGTCCAATCAAAGTTCAAAGATCACTTTTGACATAACAAATGTAGTATATATAAATATATTTACAGCATGAGTGGCCACTTGGCGATATTTGCCGAGATCCTCAGCCCTAACCAGTTCTTCTGGAACAGTCTTTCCCCTCTGGAATATACAGCATAAAACGTCAAACATGCTGCATAAAACAACTTATCATGCAACGAAACAATCTCTACAAACCTTTTTTCGCTCAGTTGTGAGGATCGTAGCCTTGTCTTGGAGCTATTGGAAATATGAAATGTAAATTTTATGAAGATCTTTAATTTATTATCAAAGTCTGAAAAGATTATAATTTACCTTCTGAATAATCTCTGGAGTCATTCCGACTTGTTCACTAACATCCATAGGCTCTCCACCAACTCCCTGAAAAACAGCCAAAGTTTAAGATAATAAGGCTTAAACTTCATGTATACATATTGAATAATACATGCGTCTCATTTTTATATTAGAAAACCACTCACTGCAGCTGGTTGTGAAGGCAGAGTTTGAGGAGCAATAAGTCCAGCCTGGGGTTTGAGAGTAGCAAGAGCTGCAGAGTGTAATCATTAGTAAACCATATATAGATCACATCCATGTCCAGACATACATACAAATAAATAAATAAATTATATATATATATATAGTCAAGTACCTTCTCTAGCAGCAGTGACCTCTTTGGTAAGACGGGCAATGACTCTGCAAGCTGCATCGTGCTGGTAGAGAGCGTGAGAGAGCTCTTGGCGTGTTGTTTGCAGCTGCTGCCGTAGGGTAAAACTATGAAGCATAACAGCATCCTGTGATAGAAGATAAAAAATGGATAAACCATAACAAGAGAACCCCTTTGTCTCAGAAATGATCTTGCATCTTACACAATGAAGGAAAAGGGGAAACACATAACATTCAGTGAATGTAAGTTCACACTCACCCATTCATCTTGTAGTGACTTAAGAATAGCTGGAATACTTGTTGCTGATGGTGCTTTGGGTCTAATGGGATGGGACACTAAAAACATTTGATAGGTTTAAATATGGCATCGATTCGTACATATTACGTTTTTATGTGCAATTCCGGACAAATATCACTGCGGAGTATCGTCAACATTACGAATACTACGTAAAGATACCTTTAATATCTACGAGCTGTTCTTCAGACAGAGGCTGTCCATTCATGGGGTCCGTCCCATTTTCTGCTATGTACTTCTCAATGAGCCGCCGCTCAAAAACTTGGTTCGACACGGGAGAAACACAAGCATGCTCCGGAACCTCGTTAGAAACTGAAATAGATGCAATTACACTGTAATTACAGCAACGAATAACACAGTTGATGTTTCCAGCCTCAAACAAACTTTGCCGCGGCAATGCGTGGCCTTTGCTAGCATTAGCACAAAGATTGCCGCTTAGCTGCGTATGTAGCGGTGAAAATGAAAGAAAACATACTTACTTGCGCAAACTAGAGACATGTTTCCACTTGATCCTGAAATGCCCTTTAACCGCGTGTATTTGTGCCCAGTGCTTTGTTATTGATGCGTTTGCTAAATACAGTTATGTTTTGCTGAAATGTGTAGCACGCTGTCCTTTCATTCCGCCGCTACATCCGGGGAACGGCTTCTTCCACGGTGTCATTCCGGACGCTTTACTGCCCCCTACGGACAGCAACATGTCTGTCTTTCTTTCAATATGTGTTGAAATGATTAAGAGTTCATTCTTCTAGGATTGAAATCAATTGAAGAAAAAATCAGTTTGCTGTAGAGAGGTTAAATATAACTTTAATACACTATATATTAGTTTTAGATTTTCCAGTTTACAACACAAAGACATAGCATGAAGTAGATTCATTATTCTTTTTCTGTACATCAGCAAACGTTTAATTTGCAACAATATATTAGTCTTTTGTTCACATATGTAACATTACAGTTTTCTGTTGCAATAAGCTTGTCATCATGTTAGCCAACAGACAATGGTGTCAAAACAGCAATAAACCAAAATGTGTCTTTATATCTAAATATCTAAATATATTTACATGACACATAAACACAAATGTACAGTTCTAACATTGGTCCTGAGGGTCAGGAGGTAGGTTTTAGAAAATTTAGACAGGACTTGGAAAGATTCCGGCAGCACCAGTGAGTGACCAATGTAAGATAGAATTTTTCTACACGTGCAAAATAATTGTAACAAATTTCATAAAAGTTTTACATGCATTTTTTGACAGCAGGTCATGGAAATTAGTTGTTCATACAAAAGGCACAGTTATAACTTCATTAATTATTTGCTCCACCCTTTCTCATCTCCTTTTCAGCTGAAGTTGAGTTTGTCGGATGTGTAGACACTGCAGGATTCAGATGTGTCAGTGTCCAGGGGCAGAGTGGAGAAGTAGTCGTGTGAGTTTTTAATCTTGTCTTTCTTGCTCTTGATCTTGAATTGAACACACTCCTCAGAAATGTGGAGGCAATCTGAGGCACCAGGCATTGAAAAGGAGATCCGCCGCTCCTCTTCAATCGGCTTCAATGAGGCAAGAGAAACAGTGTTAAAGCAAACATGTGATTACCATTTTGAGAGATTATGACATGTTTTCAAATTGTCTAATTACTAGTCTATGTGACCAGATAGAATCCATAAGCTCTTTGCTGGAAAACATGACTGCTACATGACTATTTATTACAGTGATTCATGTTTATAGGGACTATATGTAACTATTTCATTTGAAATTAAACCTACATCTTTAATATGTGTCTCTAGATAAAGGTCTACCTGTAGAAATCATGTTTGACTTTTCTGAACAAAAGTTTAAAGTGGAGTATTGATGTCCACAATATTTAGTTTCAAGCATATTGTCCAATCAGAGCGAAATTGTTTGAAATTTAGCTGGCTCGCTGATCATTCTTTCTCGCTCATATATATATATATATATATATATATATATATATATATATATATATCCTCCTCTTAGCAGTAGAATTCTGGCAACAAAAGTTGGATTGTAATTGTAGTTGATTGATGTACAAATCTAGTACAAATTGGGGCTGGTGCTCTGTGAACTGGGTGAACTGGGCGCAGCTCTGATTGCCACCCCCCATGGATGTGATTTTATTTTTTATGCTTTTAAATTTTCTTGTGATCTCATTGTGTGTTTTTAATGCCCTTAGGGATTCTAATTGTATTTTTAATGTTTATGTAGATTTTAATGTCTACTATTTATGCCTGATGTGATATGGGTTGTGAGGCGCTTTGTGTTGCCTTGTGTAGGAAAGGTGCTCTGCAAATAAAAGTTGATTGATTGAACAAGTATAACATGTAAAATTGTGCTCAAATAAATAAAAAAATAAACAAATGAATACATAAATAAATAATCATTATCTTATTATCTACTATCTTAAATAATAGATCATGTTTGATGTGTTCCTCAATATGCAAGCAGCATTGACCCAGTCCCCAAATAAATATGGGGTCAATATGCGATTACATAACTCTCATGGCAGAAACCCTTGACCCCTTGAATGACGTTAGTCGCAATAAAAGTGTTCCGTTTGATCTAATTTGGTGAATGGAGCTGTCTTTATCAAATTTAAAAAAGGTACAAACACAGATTGGTGCAACTGTGTGACTTACCCGTGTTGCAGTATTTCGAGCCGGAGACCTCACTGGTGTCAATCTTTGGTTTTCCTCATTCCTCAACCTCACAGGAGATGGAGAAGATTCAGGCAGGGTTTCTACCTGACTGTAGCCCTAAAACATAGAAATACAGAATAGAAAAATACTTTTATAAGAATAAAAACTATTGTAGAAACAATGGTAAATCGCAGACATTTTTTTGGTTACCGAATGAACTGGAGTGGCATGTGGAGTCCATTTTCTTGGCGTTGATGGTTCTTGTGAGTAGGTGTAATAACCTGTGGGTCCTGGGCTTGCATGATTATAGTCCTAATAAACAAAACTTATGAATGTTCAAAAGCATCTAACCATAATGGATTCAGTTTTACCTGTATGTTCACTCTTGGTGGGTTGGCTGGTTGGTTGTGGTTTGCTCTCAGCCCAGTGATGATCTGTGATAGACTGCAGTAGGGGTAGCGCTTCATAAAAAGTATAAAACCAGCCAGAGACACAAACATGCCTGAAGGTACACTGATAGATTTGAAAATGGCTCGCCACCTTGCTCCTTTTTCTATGAAGAAAGTAAATAATAAATATTAACAGAAATATACCCATTCTGGAGGCCAAAATTTCAGATAATATACTGTATGTAAATTCACTTTTAATTTGTCATGTTGTTAACTGAAAATAATAGTGTAGGGTAGATCAGCGGTTCGAAAAATGTAATCAGACTTTTTACTGATCGTGTTTTTGGTAAAAAAAAGTCTTGAGAAAAGTAGATTTAACTGAGGTATAACATGCACAGGAAACACATATTAAGTTGCAAGTCTTCATTGGGTATTGACTCCCAATTTGATGGATGGTAAGTGGTTAAAATATCAATTCTTAGTGATAGTAGATTGAGAATTGATTATGAGTAAAAAAATATATCAATATTTTGGCACACTCCTGCTAGTTGGGCCCAGCCCTGTGACTTACCAATGACCTGTAACCATGTGGTCGAAACCAAGTTGCCATCTTTATCTTTGACTTCATATGTGCCATCGTGTCTGGAGGTCAGTCGTGCAATGACGACCTCATCTTTGCTGCCATTACGTCCCAATGAGATGAGGCCTCTGTATCGCATGTCATGGTCTGTGATCTGGCCCTCGCGCACCAGTTGGACAGGGCCACGTGGAGGCTTTGGATCAAACGGCCCAAGTGAAGATTCATCAGGGTATCGAGCAGGGGTAAAGATGAGATGAGCATGAGGGACAGGGAGAAAGAGGGGTAGATTTAAAGACTCTTTGGTGAAGCGGGTGACATTGAAGAAATGGGCTTCAAAATGAATAAAGGGAGGAGCAGGTAATGATGGCATGAATGATAAGTAAAGGGATGGAAAGAGAAGAATACAATTTCAGATCATCGGTCTTATATTAAAACACTTTACCAGGTAGGAATTTAAGGCAAGAACTTTCCCCTTATAAACACTTTTGGCCGGATATTAAAATACAGACTTTTATCAGTAGAGTCATGATTATTAATCATGATTTCTGATAAAATAAAAACATTTGTTTCCACTGAAGGAGTGTCTGAAGACAGGGAATGCTCCAGGACATTTATTACTTGACATGACGCATTCGAAGCTTCCTACATCATGAGAAGCTCTAGCGAAAGCTTCCCGCCAAAACACATCCGGTAATTGTTTGTAAGTGTTTTAAAGATTTGAATAAAAGAAACCCCTAATTTGATGCAATAGGGCATTTTGCTTGTGGATATTGGTCAGTATTTCCATGTTTTCTGACTAACCACTGTTTTAGTTAATCCTTTTTCAGTCCTTTGAAACAACAATGATGATTTTTTTCACCAAAAATGGGTATGTACATGACAACAGGCTTTACTCACCAAGGACGGTCAGGGTACTACGCATCAAGACCTTCCCCTGATGATCTCTCACGGTGTAGTTTCCTTGGTCGGCTTGGGTCACTTTATCAGCTATCCACACTTTCCCACCTCTGCCAATCCGGCCGCGGCCTGCACCACTGGTTGTGTAGCTTGTACGGTTCCACAGCACAACTGGCATGGCCTCAAGGGGCGCACCCTTGGGAGAAAACTCCAAGAGAAAGCTATTTTCGGGAATGCTGTGCTCAAAGTGGTCCCCATAGTGTTTCCGGTATGACTTTATACACTCTATGACAAGATATAAAAATTCAAAAGAGTGAAAGGAATTAAATGAATTACATGTATTTACCGAAGAATCACGTCATCTACCTGAAACAATTAATCTCACTGTCTCATAGGTAAATTCAGAGTACAGTTTGATTGAATAAAGTCCTTGATCTTGATGGGTCACCTCTTTTAGGACAAGCATCTTATCTTTAGTCCACTCAAATCGTGGGTCCTTTACCTGCGATGTAATCGTTTGAGATGAATACAGCTTAAATCCATACTGTTATCATTATTTTAATATTTTGTCGGTCACACACTGTTGTTTTCTCCAAAATGACGTGCCTCTGCCCTGGTTGATCTGGGGTAAATGTCACAATTCTTGATGTGGAATAAACAGGCAGTCTGAATTCTTTGCCAGCGCATAGAGTTTGTACCTCTTCCCTCTCACCTGTAAAAATGTCAAAAATAATTGAATTAAGCACTGAAAAACACACTAATAAGGTAAACACATGTACTACCAACCTAAAACATATAAACCTGTGAAGAAGACATCAAACATAATATTATTTACGGTTCACAGTCTGACTACGTATAATGAAGTATATCAGGTGAACTTACTGGTTACAAAGGGAAGACCAAGGACAGTGAGCAGGATGCAGAGAGACATCTTGTCTAGGAGACTCATTTTCACCTATAAACAAACAGCATAATGCACACGCTTGTCACGTTATCATACATTTTCAGTCAGTTCAAAAGCAGCTGTAAATACAGCATTATAATGCAGTGACTACAGCGCCATGTCTGTTATATGATGCCCCCATTTCCCCCAGGTGCCCGTGGCACACTATCACTGTCTAAAGCACAGAGAGACATTTTCAACATGCTTCTGACATTAACTTACCCCCCTGCAACAGTGAAAATAGATGCCCCCTTTAACAATGTGGTTGTTTTCTCTGTGAGGTCGGAATAACAGGATAAACGTCCTTTACGCAGCGCATGCGCAAAAGCCCCATGTTTTCAACGGCGTGCATGGCGTGAACATGAATCTATCGGGGGTCGTCATCCGTTGCTAACTTGTGATTCCCGTACACCACTAAGCAAACAGCGCAGGTTTGTTACGCACAGATGCGATCAGTGCGGCTCCTCAGATGCAGTATTTTTTCTTTGCTTCATACGTTTTTCTTATACATCTGTGTGCCGTTATTGTTGTGCCAAGTGGTCGATCAAATCTTTAAAGAGCGTTTCATAATGAAATAGTGCATTGTAGTCACTAGATATATGCTGGATATTTATGTTTCGAGCAGAAGGAATATGGGAGGAGAAAAGCGGTGTATAGACCATACTAGAGCAATGACGGATTCTGTTGTCGCGGCCAATGTGGAAAACATTATTTAAAAGTATGTGATCAAAAATGTAAAGGAATTAATTTTTAAATAAATTCTATTTAAACTTTTTCATGACAGCTTTAACACGATCAACTCTCAGAATTCTGAAACAGCTACAAGTCCTAGAGCTCCAAATCACTTGTAGTTTTTTTTTCCTTTTTTTTTTTTTTACATTTACTCACTTTTAACAGCTAAAACTGGTTAACATAACTTGAAAGGCAGCATACACAAGAAAGAATAAATGCTAACTTGCTGCAAATAAACATGGTGTTGCTATGGTAACTAGCACTTGCTGTTCTCTGGTGGAAAATCAGGCTGGACGATACAGTCTATGGGCTGGACCCATAATGGCGAGAAGGGGCAAGCAACCTTTTTGTTGCCCTTTTCGGTTATGAATGATAAAACCATTCCGTAAAAGCAATTTCACAGAAATAAACTACAAATACATACAGGAAAGTCAAAGTTACGAAGACAAACAAAGTACATGAGTCAAGTAATTACACTAGTTTTTAGATGAAAATTGTTGAATAATTGTTCGAGCGCAGAAAACAAAACGAATGATGTTCCACAGCACATCTAAAGTTGTGATTTGAAAGTGTTGAACTGTTGTGCAGTTCCAGGAGTTTGAACATCTGTTTGACACGTGTCTGTAACTTCTTAGTACAGGGTTCTAGAATCCAATTTCACAATATTCCTGTTTCCTCTTTCTTAAAGGTAGTCTTTCAATTGGCTATATAAACAGTTCACATTGTTTAAAAAAAATGAAATAAAAAGTTGAATAAGTCTCACTGAAATTCACAGTGAGTTTGCACAGTCGAAAGATGCCCGCAGAACTGGCTGCCGTCATTGACGGTGAGCTCTCTAGGTTTTCAAATACGCACATATTCAGACACGCCTTATGCTTTTACAACAGCGACGAAAAGTCTCTTAAAGAAGACATGTGTAACGCATTGGCGAGATCGAATTAGTATTGGTTTTGGACCCTTTCTTTTTTGCAAGACGTTTGTATGATTGTAAAACTCTCAAAGCGTTGAAGGACATGTTGCTGCTTCAAATGCTCATGTTTACCCTTGTGGATTTCAGTAAGTAACACGTAATAGACTACAACAAGTATTCTCTATTCCTTCATGTCTTTGCTAATAATATTTTTTTAGAGACCTATTAGACATGGGAGGGGCCATGTAAAGTATCCATGCACAGCCTATGGCATGGGTTTCCAGCATGGATCTATTAGGTTTCCAGCCTTTTCGACTGGGGAGTTTTGTAAAATAGAAATGAGAGATACTTTCAGTGGTAATAAAAATTTACAACAACCACAGCCAATCATGGAGAACACACATGCCTAATATACCATCATACAATGGTACAATATGGTAAATTATCCCTGCATTCATGAAAAGATATATAATGACTCAAAAGTGAGATTAGACAGTAGCTCAGTTGGTATAGCATTGGCCTTTGAGCCAGAAGGTCATGGGTTTTGAGCCCACCTCAAGACTTTCACCATCGACTCCCACTGACTGCTGTCGTTGTGTCCTTGGCAAGACACTTTACCTCTGGGAACACCACCCACAGTGGGGCGGCTGCGGCTGTAAAGTGCCAAACTGCCGTTGGGTCCTTAGGCAAGACACTTCACCCACATTGCCTAGAATGAGTCTATTGTGTGTGTAAAAGGTTGGTGGTGGTTGGAGGGCCTGATGGCACATACTGGTTGCCTCGCTTCTGTCAGTGTGCCCCAGGGCAGCTGTGGCTACTGTAGTAGTTTATCACCACCGTGTATGGAGTGAAAGAATAATGACATGTAAAACGTCGTTGAGTGTCCAAAAAAGTGCTATATAAAACCGATGCATTATTATGATTATTAAATGTTAATTAGATTAACATTTATTTTAGAATTTATATTAAGAATTTGTTGTTGTATACTAACTTAATAATTACTATATGTTCTCTCAAGTATATTTCATTTAAGTTTTATTTGGTGCATCAGAATTCATTCAGCATTTATATTTCTTCCATGTTCAGGTTCCTCATATGAGACTCCAACCAGGTGCTATGGCACCACTTATTCATTCAGCCCACCACAATTGCCTAATTCCATATTTTATATGCCTCGGACAAGAGATGAGCGGATACTCGTTGCTGAGAAAGGAAAGGTAGGATACTATAATTGTATATAATCTATTTACTTTAATCTTTTAGAAACATCTTAAGTATCTTTGCATTTTACTAGTCAAAACACGAACGGTTTGATGTTACACTCTCGGGTATAAGCATCAAAGATCTGACAGACGAAGACGACCAAGCAATCCTGTTTTTTGATCAAGAAAATAGTATGCAACTGAAAATCGTTGGTGAGTGGAAACTGTATTCTTAATAATAAATACTTTTGTGACGACCATAAAGTTCAGTACAGACCCCCAAAAAATATTAAATAAAATTCAGATGAATTTATTTGCCATTTACAACCACATTGGAATAAATCCGCCAAAGTTCCCAGTGTGCACAAGAGAAGTACATAAATAAAACAAGGTTAAGAGTACAGAAATGAAAGAAACAACACAGGAAACAATTGACACTGTGAAATCGAGTCAAAGCAGCTCACAGCCTCTGGATACAGGAACCGATGTCATTACATAGCGGCCGCAGCTGCCCCCGGTCAGAACGCTGCAGGAGGATGTGGAATCCAATTCAAGTACGTAAAGCAAGCAACAGCAAGTGTCTGCGGTCACACATTTGACCAAAAAGATAAGATGTCCGCCTTCCAGCGCTCTTAGTTCTAGAGGTAGAAATGCTGTAATTTGTTCCCAGCCAGAATGGGTTACTAGTGTGGACCATTATTTTTTTTTTATATATATATATATATATATATATATATATATATATGTATATATATATTTATTTTACGTTTTATTTTTCTTGTAAAGGGAAGAAAGAAAAAAACACAAAAATGCTGAAAAACACAAAAATGGCATAGAAAATAAAGATGATAATAAGTTAAATGGAAAAAAAAAATTGATCCTCACAATTTTGGAATACAGTCGCGGGCCGGATCAAACAACTCAGTGGGCCAGATTCGGGCCCGCGGGCCGCCAGTTGATGATCAATGTTGTACAGTATTTGTATATTTATTGTTTTTCTCAGATTGCAATGATCCTCAAAAAGCCCGTTATGGAGAAGATTTCTTTTTTAAGATCCCACGTTCTGCTGAGTACTTGCAGTTCTCTCAGGTCGTGCCCTATGAGTCAACCCTTCAACCTGTAGTGATTTGGAATCGCACTGACCCCAGTCTTCGAGGGTCAGTCATAGCTGGTTATTTTGAGATAAAAAAAGCCAAGCAGACAAACAGTGGCTACTACAAATATAGAGATTCACAGAATCAGCTACTCAAGTGGAGAAGATTGGCAGTGGAAGGTGAGACCATATGTTTGCTTAGAAACAAAGGCAAATGGTGAATACCTGTTTTTTTCCCCCAGAGGTTCGTCATTACTTTGAAGTCACTGAGGGGGACAAGGTAGACCAGCAATTTCCACCTGGATTCTCATTCCAGCATATTCTATATACGCCAGACGATTCAACTGACGAGCTCTTGATTGAAGAAAGATATATGAATCAAAGAATGAGTGTTTATGACGAATACTTTGACATATTTGATGTAGTAAAAAGTGATTCTGGCATATACAAGTTTGTGGATATAGAAGGGAACGTTGCAGTGCGTGTCCAGATAGAGGTGAAGGAAGGTAAGAAAAGACTTTAAACAAATGAAAGCTACAGAATGTAAGGCTAAAATGGGCTGTGTGTGTTATTCCTGCAGTTGAAATCCCTACTTGGGCATATGTTGTCTTTGCTGTGGCTATCATCCTTGGAATTATAATTTGTTGCTGTTGTGTGAAAAAGTGCTGCTGTAAAAAAGACCAAAGAAACATCCCTGATTCTACAACAGCAGAACCTGCTGTGTTCTATCATGTAAGTTTTCATGTTGCTTTCTGTTCAATAATCCTTGGCCTTTATTTGTGATCTGCTTCTTTCTGAAGGAATCAAATCAACCTGCTCCACCTGCAATCCCTCTTCTCTCCAGAGAGCCAGTACGCTATATGGCTGATCCAACTGTGAGTTTTACTTAGTTTGTTTAGTATTGTGTTTTTTCCTACTTTTATTCTCCATGTTTTGATTCACAGACTAATGTCGTTGCCAGTATGGACCCACCACAGTTCACTCAGGTATGTACGGAAACTGACAGTAATGCTCTATCCACAAAATACATTTAACATGATATTTATTACGATAAAATAATATCCCCAACCTAATCTGTGCACCTGTAGGCCACAATTCCAGCAGAACCAGGACCCATATCAGGAACTAATTCCGACTTTGAGCCAAAGTTTGTGGTGAAAGGATCCATTTTCCCCTCTGCTCCTCCACTCAGCGCAGATTCATCTATTCAAGATGTTTACACCTCAGATAAGCTCAACTTTTTGTAAAGTTATTCAGCTGGTGGCCCCAGCCCAGTCGCCTTGCACTTGCAGTACACTCTCTTGAACAAGAGGATTGTAAGCCTTCGTACAGATCTTAAAGTGCGTATGACAGGTGAGACTTTACTTTAACTTAGTAACATGTGTAACATGTAATATATTTAAGATTTTAGTTTGGCCTCGTACCTATTGAGTACGTAAGTAATCTTAATTTTTTTGTTAAATCATTTTACTTCCTGGTTAATCAAATCTTGGTAGGGATGTTACACAGTAATGTTAATGGGAATTATTTGATGCATCAATTAATATACTAATTGAACAATATGTTTATTAAAGCTGGAGTAACTCACTTTTTGACTTTGAAGCAGCATTTTCAAATGTGCCCCACGAAGCTTTCCCCCTCTACCCCCTCCCACTCAAACGCGTCCTCTTCTGCTGTTGTTGACGGAGCTGGTCTCTTGTGTGCTAGTGGTCGGCTGTGATTGGTCCCAATCTGGTCCCAAAATAAATTATCTTCCACATTGCGCGAAAATTTTATCTAAAATAAAACTACACTCCAGTACAAACCAGCGCTACTTATTCCTCAAAAGGACGTATATATCGCAATGCACTGCATGGATATGGATTGAATTTTCCTAACTAATACAAAATAAAGTGAGGTAGTCCAGCTTTAAGTTGACAGGATCTGCACTTAAAAAGCCTAGCTTTAGTTTAGGATTCAAATATTTCTTAGAATGAATTGTGAATCTCATTAAATGTGATGTCATCAATCCTAAAACACTGCTCTACTTCCTGTAATTTTTTACATATTTTCAAATAAACTGACTTCAATGGTTTAAATATTTATATTCAAATATGCATTGTTTTACCAGGAAAAGTCAAACTTATAAAAATAATAATACATACAGACCTGTCTTACGTACTTAAACTGTATTTTTCTATTATGTTTATTTTTTTATCTGCAGCAACAATACAATCTTATATTTCTTTTATGACATGTTTATATTGTTTCATTGTCATTTCACTTTTGTTGCATCTACCTCTGCTTGTTGTGCTGTGTTTTAGGTGAGGAATATTGTTACTATTACCTCCTGCATGTGGCATAAGTCAGGCTCTGTCAGCAGGACATGTGTAACTGGTGCTTTTTCAGATGTGTCAAAAACAATGAAATGATAGCGAACATTATATATGTTTGTTTATCTTGTTTCTTGACATGCTAAGTGCATTTATGAAATTAAATAAAGTGCTACAATACTGCCAAATATTTATATATTTTGTGTTGTATTCACATATGTGTGATAGTGCACATAATGGTTTAATTGGTCGGAGTCTGAAACCATAGCCTGAAACATTATATACTCCATTTTATTGTTTCACT